TCATCCTGCTGCTGCCAAAGAAGAACCGCTACGCAGGGACGGGACAAAATGCTGCTAAGCTCAGCTGCTTCACTCTCTGCTGCTGCGTATGTTACATTTATTAAATCTAAAATAAGAAAGAAGAGCTCAAGGCAGCTGGACAGGTCATATATGAAGGCAGGATAGACTTCGATTAGTAGGTTGCACTTGGACTAGACAGAAAGTGAAAGGTTAAACTATTAAGTGGGTAAACTGGCCATGTAATATTGAGCATCATTCACTGTCAGTCAGGCTCAAATGTCGCTCTAATCTTGCTTCTTTAATGTTCCAGTCCATGTCCCCCAGTACTTCTAAAGAGAAGACAGACAAGCCCAAGAAGAAGTCGTCTCGGACCGTGTGGACAGTCCCCACTGAGAAGCTGTGGACACGCGGCTGCAGCACCCCCACCCTGCCTCTTTACAACCCTCCACCCTCCACACCTGTCAAAGGGACCAGCATCAGCAAGCTGAAAGAGATGAATGGGTGGAAGTGAACCCAAAAACTAAACAGTCCGTCAGTTTAACGTAGGAGGACTTCATCCTGAAGTCATAGATGAAGGCATAGATAGTGGTCGGCTTCGAGCGGTAAATGGGAAAATCACCAAATAAGTGTCAGACAAATGCTGATCAACTTGTATGTGGCTGGTAAGTTAATCTTCTTCAGCAGGAAACCAAGCATGTGGATGTTCTTTTCTACTCCAAAAAAAAAAGAAAAAAGATTTTTGGCTGGTAGAATATTTAAGGTCAGCAGCGACTTTAGGAATCCACCAGCCACCGTAACCAGAAGTACCCTAATGTGGTTATAAACTGTAAGGGCAAACAAAAAGAAAACAAAAGGCAAATCAGGCCGGCGGTGCCCTCAAAGACCCAATAAGAATACAGCTGTCTGAAGCACTTGTCCAAAGCTGAGGACAGGCAGCGCGCTACGAAAGAACACACACAGCATGAACAGGGAGACGATGGCTGAGACAAGCCAGTAAAACTGACTGGAAAATTTATGCGAAGAACAAACAGGCGGATGGTTTATCTCTCCAAAATATATAAATTGTCTTTAGAAATGTTCCTCAGGGGAGACCCTTCGTCTGCTCGCATGTCTGTCCGTCCCCCCTCCTCTTTCTCTTTCCCGTCTCTCTCAGGGAAAAGGAACCACGCGGCTGAATTCGTTCATGAGAATTACAAGACTGTAAAGCACATTTTACTGTTTTTATACGTCCTTGAGGTGCCAAATGTGTCGTGTGGAGCATCAGACGTTGGAGCGAGGGGAAGCGGCGGCCCAAAATTCCGTCTATAACCCGACAGAAGCATCTTAATGTGTTTCTGGATCAGCAGGTGGACTCCTCTGTCTGTTACCTCTGGTTCACTGACTGATCAGCTTTGGCTATGACTTGTGTCTCTAATGTGCATTGTTCCGCTGTCTAATGTTTCTGGTGAAAACCTTTATTAATATATTGTTATTTATTGCAGTACGGAAAAATATATATTCAGTATAATGTGTGTTTCTTTTTGATAATTTTGTAATGTTTTGACAATAAAATTACCCTGTTTAAAACTGATCTTTAAGGAGAAGATGGAATTTTAACAGCCTCAACCATCCAAAACATTATCATAATGCAGTGATATGTACTTTACAGAAGCCGGCCAATGACAAAAACCCTGACTGGCACATACTTTAAGGCCCACTCCGGTCCACCAATACAAATCCATTTCCAAACCCACATAACCCCATCCACTTTCACTTCAGGAGGACATGGAGTTGTGCGTCCGTGCACGTCACCTGCCCCGAACACTACCCAAAGACTACAAACGCGTTCTGCGTTCCCCCATCTTAGACAAAACAGTCTCCTGCCAAAACGTGAATGAACCTCCCCTCCAACAGGGAATGTTTTGAGCTAGGGCCAAGCCACCAGTTCCTGTGCCCAGAGAAAGGTGTTTTTGTCTGGCCTCAGAAACCTGGCTGGCTGGGCCACCGGCACCACCCGGCTGGCTGCGCCTCCCGGCCCTGACCGGACGGTAACTCAAGCCTTTTATTGCACAAGTGTGAAACACTTTTCAGCTCCTTTACGACCACTGTCTATCCCGCACCACTCTGCTGAGGGGCTGAAGCCCACACACATTTAAGACTGTATTACTGTATTTGTGAAGACTTTGTACTGTCTGTAATCCCTGACCTTAACAGCACACTTGAATTTAGGATCCTAGTCTTGACCCTAAATTCAAGCCCTAACCTTAAAAGAGCTGTTGTGAGGGCCAGCAAAATGTTCTGTTTGGAGAATTTTTAGGATCAACTGACACTTAGGTAGAAATGTGGTCCTCACAAGAACAGAATCCCAGAATCATACACACTCTGTCTGAGGGTCTGAATCCAGGCCTGACCGCCGCAGGTCGCATTGGGCGGCCACACTGCTCAGCAGACATCGACAGTGTCAACACAAAAAGTGTTGACTGACATGAGTGTGAGCGTGGTCGTCTCCTCCGTGGTCGTCTACAACTACATTCCACGGTGGCGTGGAATTTCAGTAGTTATTGAAATATAATAAAGAAATACATCTGAAAATGGAAAACAAACTTATACAAAAATCTTACTGCTACAGCAGAGAAGAGCACTTTCTCCGATATTCCACATGTGGCGGCCTTTTCAGAGAAGGTTAAGAAAAAATATGGTGTATCAGTTTTCATTAGTTAATTAAGCACCGTGAATGCACCGCGTGACGTGACTGCGACAGACTCTGGTATGTTTGTGCTTTTAGCAATGTGGTGTTGGCACTTTCTGTGGTGAGACAGCAGCCAGTGTGCCACAGGTCCTTTCTCTGAGAGTGTCAGCTGTTGCCACAGCTGTCGTTAATGCGGTGAGGTCAGCTGCCTCTCAGAGAGCACCACAGAGCTGCAGCCACAACACTTCTTCACTGCGGATACTGATCACCAGTGACACTACTACTAGTACACTTCAGCGACCAATCAGATTCACTACTTCTGCTGAACAACAAAGAGCATTAGTTATGGGCAGTAGAAAGACATTATTGTGGACAAATAAGGAAGAAATCTTGCCACTCTGTTTGGATTGCTGTCTTGTCACATGTACATGTCTGACATGTAGATTTTATTTCTGGTCATTTTTAAGCAAGTATTATCAGGGTGGCATCTTTAACCAGTGTCAACATCAGTATAACCAACAACCAGTCTGTCTTTGTTTTCTACACACTGTTGACTGAGAAAGGAAGTTCATTCTTGGCCTGGGGAACAGGCTCAAGGTCTCTGTGTTTAAAAGCTTCAGAAAAACCCATTATGTGGACATAATGAGTTAATATTATTTTTTCTAAACACACACAGAAAACTATCTAAGCACATATGTAAGTACGCACAGCTCACTTTCCCATAATGCACCGCCTAATCATTGCTCATTTACTGCAAGGCAAGCCAGAGTGGTATACAGTGGCTAATAAGAGGTCTGTCCTACTTTCGGTTGAGATGTATCAAAATAAATGATCAATACATAATACATGTATTTGTACGTGCACTACATCAGCAACATATCTTAAGGGCCTCAATCCAATACCCATGCCAACTTAACACAAAGATTGCACAAGAAGGCCAGGTAAGAACTTCTCTTTCAAGCGCATCCACACAACTACTTCTGTCACTTTTCATGGGTGCAACATCGTGACGGACTCAGAGAAGAGCAAAATAAAAAGGACTGTTATTCCCATTTGTTTGATTGACAGACAACTTTTTGCCCTGCTGCCTTTTAGGATTTAGCTGGTATGAGCTGGTTCCAAGGCTCAAGTGTGGACCTGTATAAGACAGCGCTCTCTTTACTACATAATTTACTTACTTAATTAAGATTATCCTATGACCCTCATCAATCAACAAAAATGCTAACTTGTGTATTAGGAGGAAGAGTCTTTCACTTTTAGACTGACACAGCCACCAAGATCCAGCCTGCAGTGGATCTGAAAGGGGCTTCACAACCTTCAGGTCAGACACTGCTTGGCTTCAGAGAACAGGGGAGGCCTACTATTATTAGGGATGGGAATTTAATTAAATGTTATTAATGTTTATGAACATGTATCTTACTTCTCAAGGATAAAGTAACATAAAGACATCGAGAGAAACATTAAGCCATCATCAAAGGCAAGAGAGGGGGAGAGAGAGAGAGAACACAAAACAGTAGGAGTGCAAGAGAGAGCATGAGTGACGCAGAGAGTGAAACTGGAACTTATTTGGTATTTATCCATGGCGTGTAATTCTGTGTCAGTGACGTGTGGAACAACACTGCAGACCGGAGGAGCTGTGAACAGTGACGAGCAAAGATTTAACAGCTGCTTGATATGAACCGGGTTCAGCGTGTATTCACTTAAGTAATGTACTTTTCTTTTATTTCTCTGTTGAGTTGTTTATATTTTATTAATCGATTGTTAGAAACCACTATGTGATACCAGTTTTAATCCAACATGTTGATGCTTTACATTGATTGCTGTAAAGTACTTTGTTACCTGTACTGGAAAGTGCTATACAAATAAACCCATGATTATTATTAAAGTCCCCACGGGCTTGTCTCAGACTCCAGTGTGAAAAGAGTTTATGCATTGGTAAAACTGTGATTTGAAATACTTCATTTACTTGGTATAGTCTAGGTGTCCAAAGAATTCTACTGAATTGAGAATTGGACAAATCACTGGCACAATTTAGATGATGGCAATTTGATTAAGTTACAAAGCCAGTAAGCAAAAATTTAGATCTCATGTCATATACCAAACAGGAAGTTACCAGTCAAACATAGTAATAGAACATCCTGAGTAATGCCATCAAGCTAAAATTGTGCCTCTGCTGCCATCTATTGGACTACAGTACAGTATTTAATTTTACTTTTTATTAAACTTACCACAACCACCACAAGATCCAAATCTACAAGGACACCAACAACTACCAGAACACCAAAGACAAACAGACAAACAAACTAAAAAAATAACCCTAAAGGAGAAAAAATAGGAGTGCACAGTGCACTTATTTAATTATGGTGCGTACATGTCACATGACAGCATACATGCAGTTGATTCTAGAGGAATACATATCTAGGAAGGATCTTATAGTATCCCATCGGTCACTTGTATCCATATCTAGATACCTAAGTATTAAGAGATGGAGGAACTCATGCAACCACCGGTCTCTGGAGAAGCAGGAGGGTTTCCTCACATTACAATTCTTAACAATTAAATGTTTAGCCGCCAGGCACACAAGGGCTATCACTCTTTGTTGCTTATCGATTTGTATATTTCCAATATTGGCACCCAGCAAACATATCTTTGGATAAAACCGAATATCTACATTTAGTATCCCTGTCAGCATATGTGCCACCTCCCTCCACAGGAAGGGCAGTGCCACAACATATGAATGAGAGTTCCTACCTCTCCGCATCTGTGCCAGCATTGGTTTGATAGGCCAGGTTAATTCCCAGCTCCCTTGCCATGTTGATGTTTGGGTGAGGTATTACAGTTAGAGGAGGAGGGGGACAACAGCCTATAAAGTTTGGAGACTGTTCCTCTCCCACAGACCATGCCCTCCAGCTTTGCATCTATTTCTCTGTGGCCCCCTATGGGAGTTAATATTCTACATAATGTGGCTTTAAACTGTGCATAGCTTAAGAATGAGTAGTTACTCAACCCATATTTTGCTTTAAGTGCAGCTTATGTGTGTATTGAACCGTCCCTTAGCACTTGCATCAGCTTATGTATGTTTTTTCTCTGGCATGATTTGTCAGATAGAGGGTTCTCACTCGCCAATAACAGCAGGTTGTTCAAGTACATTTTAATATCTTAATAAAAGGATAATATCACAGCGGTGTTGCACTGTTCTCTTTTCAGAATGAAGGAATTATAGGTGTAACAAGAACTACAATGTTTATAGTTTTAAATATAGATTGTTCATATTAAAGAGCATGTATTTCTGGTTCTGCATGATTTCAAACAGTAAGTTTGAGCTCAAGGGCCAAAGCGGTGGTTTTGCATATTGCAGATCTCCTTCAGTGTAAAATCTTTAGCACGTCGCTGGTATAATTTTAAAGTCTGAAACAAAGAAGACTGCATGTAAAACACAGTACTCAGGCACAGATAAAAGATTTATTTGTTTTTCACTTCACTTCTGAGAAGTGTCGCAGACCTCAGAGCACCCATATCTTGTGTTGTACTTTGAGCTGCTCTTGTGCCTGTAGGCAGACTGGTCCAGATCCACCATGTGGATGGGGGTGGTGGGTGTAATAAGGTGTGGCCCGGTGTGTTGCCCAGTTGGACAGTCATGGAGAAATGACCGAAACCGCTTCCTTAACCTGCCACAGTCAACACAGAAGAACAACCTCTTTGTATTTCTGTTCAGTTTGCTTTTAGTACATATTTTTGCTTCTTAGATTGACAGCTACACATTCTTCCTAGCTCTCTGCATTACTCTCTCTATCAGCCCGTCTCCAGCCCCTGCTCTCTTCTCTCAGGCCGAGTTCTTTCCTTCAGCTCCAGATGTCCTCGGACTTACCGTCTTTTCCTCATCACCTGAATGCCCCACCCATTCACACACCAGGGGCGAGTGAAAGTGCCTCGAACACCCTGCTGTGTACGCAGGCGCACTGCATTTTCCTGCCTTTTTAACACCGTTGTGTTTACAAACTTATCGCAGCTGATTGGGACACGCCACAAAATGGGAGAAAACATACCTCACACACACCTCGCAAGGAAACATGTCGTCCAAAAACGTTGTAAACCATTGAAAAACGTTTTGAGATTGAACTCGCCCCTTTTTCCGACTTCTTATCAGCCCTGCAGTCACCTGGGGCACGTTCAATCTCAAAATGTTTGCATCGGTTTGCAAAGGTGTACAGGTTGGAACAGTGTGTAACGTGCTTTGAGGTACGTATTCTCTCTTTTGGTGGGTGTGTCAGCAGGGTATTAAGCGCCACCGTTTCAGTTTAAATAAACGTTTAGCTGCTTTTTGTCGGGGTTGAACGCAGTCCTTAGCTTCCCCATCCATCTCTTCACTTGAATCTCATTCCCTCATCAACCACTCACCATATTATACTGGTCTGTTTCCTTTGTTTTTGCCAAATTGGTTAGTGTGCATTGCCTAGCTTTTAACCTTCTGATGCCTGTTTTGGTCTTTACTGCCTGGTCTTTGGACCCCTGCCTGCCTCAGCCTTCTCCATCTGTGTAATAAAATCATTGAAGTGCATCTAGCTGTCTGCATTTTGGTTCTTCCCCTGTATTCCTGTTGCTTGCACCAGCCGTGACTCAAATACTCAAAAGGTCTGAAATGTGCTTTTTGAAACATCTGCAAAATGTATTTGGGTGTCTTATCATTTTATTATTCCTGGATGGCTAGCATGGACTTTAAAAGAATTGTAAATACCTTTTATAAATGTTTTTTCTAGTTATACCAAAGTACATTTATCAGTTGTTCCAGCGGATTTCATTTTATATTTAAATACACTCAATAATGAGTTGGGTTTTTTTTTTAAGAACTGAATATCACTGGTAATTTTATCCAAAAAAGGGAACATGGACACAGCTGTAGCCCTTCTACTGTGACCATTAATGATTTTCCAAAAGGTACCTGCAGAAGATTTCACTCAACTGTCTCCAGTTGGTCTACACACAACTTCAGCTTCTTTCCTGCTTCAGATGGGTCTTCTGATTGCCTCGGTGTGTTCTCATAGGTCAGAGTCATCTTTTTCAGCTTCTCACTCAGTCTAAAAACACATAACACAACACACCTAAGTACCCTGCTGGTTACATGTAATTTGGTTTTTATTATTATTATAATTAGTGAGGGTCCTCCATCTTTCAGGTACAGAAAAGGTCTAATTATTTAGTAACTGTAACATGTTACGCTGCCGGTTTTCTGTCAGCTGTTCCACAGTCAGTGTAACACAGGTGTGTCCCGCCTTGTAGTGAATTTTGTGTTGCCTACCTTTGTTGATCGGAGGAGCTGCAGGCCTGGATGGTGTCCATCAGCTGAACTCTGAGTGCTTGCCCTGCTGGACTGGACAAAACATCAGACACGCTGCAGCCAGGGAACAGATTCATGAGCATAGGAGGCAGCTACACAAACAAACACAAACACAAACACAAACACACACTACATTTTAACCATACAAGCTTTGGGAATATTAACAGTTCATCTAAGAGGCTCATTAGTGAAAATGTCTGGGCCAGATTGATCAATATGCAGAAATGAATTGTAAAGACAGGTTGCTCTGAAATAAACGACAAAATCTGGGTTATACACATGCACTGTTATGAGGGACAGAGAACAGTTATTATGTAAAACAAACGATAGAAATTCTGTTGACTGTCACAGCAGTATCTTGATATTGTTGTGTTCTATTTACTGACGATTCAAAATGATATGGAAAAGTTAAGATTTTGTTAATCTCATTGAATGAAGGGTTATACAATACTTTAGTAGACCAAAAGTCTGACTAATGTCAGCGGATCTGGAGGATGAGAAGTAGCTCGGACCTCCTCATTGGTGGGATCCAGGATCAGCATGCAGATGAAGTCCTGTCTGGCTCCCTTCAAGTTTAGGAGCTTTCGGAAGGTCTTCGATCTGTTCTCATAGTACTGACTGGCTTTGGGATTGTACTGGATGGCCAGAGAAAACATGGCAGCTGCCTCCTGGAAATGCCTGCAGACGGAGACACACATACTGTCAAATATAGCAAACTAGATTTGATGACTTTTCTTCTCTGGTTTCTGTGTGAATATGTTTGTGTGGGTGTTAATTTTGGTTGTGTGCGTCTGTGGTTTTGACCCGTCCTGGAAGCAGAAAGACCCCAGCGTGTTGTGGAGGACAGCGAGGCGGAGCCCGACAGCAGGGTCATCAGGCTGCATCATCTCTTCAGCCTGCTGGTAATCAGCCAGAGCGTAACACCACTCACCCTGCTTAAAGAAACAGTCTGACAGACACACACACACCACAGCCTACATACACATAAACGAATAAACGTACTGAGAAAAAAAATCTAAATTTTTTTGCTATGATTAATTATTTACTCTGTAAAACTTTAGAAAAAAATCAGTGGTCTTAAAATGTCTTGTTTTGTCCAAGCAAAAGTTCATTAAAAAGTACAAAATAGCAATTGATCACATATGAAAAGCTAGAGCCAATTAATGATGAATTAATTATTAAAATTGTTCATGTTCTGTCAGTGTAATTGATAAATCGAGTAATCATTTCTGCACTAGTGTGTATCGAAATACAAAACTGCCAAAGGTTCATTCAGCATGCAACTTAAAATCTAAATCCCAAATAAACTTGGGAAGTGAATACGTGGTTATTATAATCAGTTGCATGGTGGAGAGAAATGAAACGGTATGAACTGTGCAATTATGCATTGTGGTTGGAGAAGCTCTTCATGCTCTACTGCTGAAATATGTTGACCAGGTTTGTCAGGTTACACCTGTCTGACAGTTTCAGTGCCATCTTCCTTAATATGTACACCTTGCCTGGTTGGTCTTTTCTACATGCAGAAAATAACAGATTTCAGACTACAATCACTTTCATAGTGTTGTTGATCCATAACAATCATTCAACACTTACTTGGCTTATTCTTGACTTTTAAACCTCACTTTCTGGCCTGAACAAAGCCTCACCTCCTCGGTTCAGGTACAGGCCTGCCTGGCCCTTCTCCTCATCGATAGCCTTGTTGAGAAGCAGAGTCGCCTCAGCGTAGAGGCCTCTGCTGAAGCACTGAACAGCAAAATCATTGTAGGTGAGAACCAGCTGAAAATGCACGTCCTCTTGCACAGAGCCACGCTCATCCTTCTCGTCTCTGGCCTCCGCCTGATCTCTGACCTCCTTCTCTCCCTCCTCCTCCTCGCTCAGCTCCATAGCCTGGACCAGATCCTCGATGGCTGCTGTGAAGTCTTTCAGACGTCGGTACAGAATCCCCCTGATGGACAGAGAATTTAAGTGATTGAAACAGAATTTTAATAGAAATGAAATAAATGTACTCAAATAAAACAGAATCATATTTAGCTCAATAGGAATGAGTTGAAATTACACAATCGTCTACTGGTTCTAGCTCCACAAAAAATAACATTTGAAGCCTTTCTCTGTTTCACATGGTTACAAAATCAATACCTTGTGTTTTCCATGTGGGTCAGGCTCCAGTAAATAAGCAGTTAAAAAAATTGAGCCCTGGAACCTTGAAATGTGTATGTCACTTTTTCACATCCTGCATAGTACATAATCCTCCCACCACTAGTGGACCGGCCGCAGGAGCACCGGGAGATTTTCCGGTGGCCCGGGGGCTGTTTTGGCCTGCTGTTAATTGTCAACTTGACTAGCGGCAGCGATAATATTTAACTAGCTTTTTTTATAATATCAAGCAGGAGAATCCATGTGTCAGGCGACTCTCACTCTGTCGCTGCAGTGTCCCTGTACGAGGATGCGCACGCCAAATATGACATCCAGACTTTTGTCAAACGAGAATATAAAAGTTGAGTCTGTCACAGGGCAGTCATCACATGGGAGTGGTCGCATGAGTGTGCATGAGCGAGTGTGCACAGGAGAACAAAGGAAAGAGAAAAGGCACAGCTGAGCGCATTAACAGTAAATAGAAACATTTTTCAACCACACACTTACAGTAAACACTGTTGTGAATGTGTGGATTGTCCAGCACTAATGTTAGATTCCTGGCCTGAATTATTATCCCAGTCCGCCCCTGCCTCCCACAGTCCAAAAACATGAGTTACCATTAATATGTCACTAATATCCCCGCGACCCTGTACGCAGGATAAGCGGTTGACAATGGATGGATGGATGTCACTAATATTTCACTCATTAATGTATCACTCTGCCAACTTGTACATTTTGAAGCTTGTATGAGTGTTTCACATTGGCGGGACTCACCTGAACAGGTAGAGGCGTCCATCCTGCGGGCTGTTCTCCATAGCAACATTGATCATGCACAGGGCTTCCGGCAGCTGACCAATTAAAGCTCTATCCACGGCCTTTTGTCTGGCCTGCTCACTGGCTACCTGCAGCTGCAGCAGCAGGGCTCCGGCCGCCGGACACGCTGGGTTCAATGCCAACGCCAACTTCACGTTTTGATAACATTGTGATGTCTGAATAGGACAGAAAATCACTGTTAGTTTAATCACACACATTTGATTATATGTTTACAGTAGGTGAAGTATATGTAAGATCCTGTATATAACTGGATGAGTGTTCTTATACCCGGTCTGTATCAACTCACTTTCTATATCTAAATATTTAGATACACTAATTAATTATTATTATTTACTACAGAAAAACCTTGTGATTTTAATCTTTCTTTCTTTCTTTCTGTTTGTGAAATTTAGAAATGTTTTCATAAGACCTTTGGTTTTGCTTCAACTGTGAAAACAATGTGAACCAATTTAAAAATAAAGATTTTACAGCCTGATAAAAAAACACTCACTTTCTTCTGTTGTCTGTGTCTTACTATTTTTTGCTAGCTGGGATGTGGAGCTACAGGTATAAGATCATTCTACTGTTAACTGCTTGATTCTTTACAGCATCAGTTAACTGGCTGAGCTGTAAAGTGTATACGCTGCTTTTTTAAGGTATTTGAAGTTTGAGGTGCCTGCAGTTGTAACCTGGTTGAGCAGTTTGTGCAGTCTGGCTCTGAGCATATAAAGGTCAGAGGAGGGCCGATCTGACACCATCCAGTCATTCACCAGCTTCAGACACTCAGTGTGATGACCTGTAGCTGTCAGACAGGCCAAGCTGGGATACAAAATACAAGAATGAACAATGTGTGAGAATGAAACCATAAAAGACAAAATATATAGAATATGACATCTGAAATCTTGAGTACTTGGGATTAATGACATGAATGAATGAATGAATGAATGAATGAATGAATGAATAAATGAATAAATTTATTATTGTGTCATATGTATAATTACGCCCAGCCCACATGGGCTTACAAGACACCATATTCAGTTCTGCCAGGCCCAGAGTACAGCATATACAGTGTCAAACAATACAGAAAGGAGAATCGGAAGAGGAATAATAATCATACATACATACACATACACCCACGTGTACATGCTCGGCCACTATACATATAGCAAAGCAACTGTTAGATAAGCCTAAGCACAAATGCACATCTTTAATCTAGATCTGAGCATGCAGGTTCCTGACCTTCTGACCTCGTAGACCCTGCAGCCAGGCTTCACCTCAGCAGCTTTGCTGAAGGCCTCCAGAGCCTCTAGGAAAAGGCCTCGGTCAAACAAACACTGGCCCTGAAGGACATCAGGAAATAGAAAGGTCACCATTCAATTATTTTATGTTTAGGCATTTATGTGAGATTTTATGAAGGGTGTCTTATAATCATTGCACAGCAGAATAAACCTGAATTCCAAGGTGAATGATACAAATAATATAATAAACATGTCCTCTTTCCAGGTCTCTGCAGTGGAGAGTTGTGGCTCAGACCCTACTTAGAGAGCGACACCTGAACCTCCTGGATCCATCCCTTCACTTGTGTTTTACAATCTACATTTTGCCATCATAATTGTACATACTATGATTTGCTATTGTGAATCTATTCTGTAAATACGACATCTATTACATGTATTTTCGTCCTGGGAGAGTGATCACTCCTCTGTTGCTCTTCCTGAGCTTTCCAACATTTTTTCTCTAAAGGGTTTTTGGGGAGCTTTTCCTCATTTGAATCGAGGGTCTAAGGACAGAGGGTGTCGAAGGCTGTACAGATTGTAAAGCAATCTTTACCAGTGGCCTTTCAACTTGAGCCACATTGGATTTTTCTTGTCTACTGTCTACAACGTGGACAGATGCACACTAAAATGTACATGTAACAGTAACGGAGACGCTTACCTGGAGATAGTAGATGAAGGCCAAGCGGGCACTGAAGGCTCCAGGCTCTAGGAGCCGGGCCTGTTTATAACAGGCTGCTGCTGACTGGAAGTCACACAGCTGCAGGTAGGCCTCAGCCTGGCTCACATGCAGCTGAGTCTGAAACACACAACAGCGGAGGAGATCACGTTGAGGAAAACAATACAGCGTGTCTATGACACACGGACATACTGGAGCTTAGTAAAACATCTCACACCTGCAGACTATTGCAAAATACAAAAATAGAAAACAAACAGGGGAACTGAAACCACCAGTTGGGTAGTACTGTACACGTCACAGGTAATTCGATTTTTGGATAAATAGATTATTAGGGTCCTTTGATCAATATCATTATACTCGGGTAATACTAAACGTAATTTAGACAAAGTCATTATATTTTCTAAATGTTTGCCCCTCTCATAAACATCTGATATATTTAAAATCAAATTAAGCAAAATTCAAAATCTAAATTGTCATGTGTCAGTACTGCTCATTATTAACAGTGAAAGCACAAATCACAACATACAGCAAGTTTTAACATGGGTAACTGTGTTGTAGTTAGTCCAGCACCTGTTCTGGCTGCAGTGTGATGGCTTTGGAGAAGCAGATCACAGCCTTCTCATACTGGGACTTTCCCATTGCCTCTTTTCCATTTGTGTAACTGCAAAGACAAACATTTTTCAAAGCTGAAGAGGCACCGCCTGGATTTCAAGTTCCAACATTTAATAGGGGTGGGGGGAAAAATCGATACAGCATAGTATCGTGATATTTGCCATGGCAATACTGTATCGATACACGGACGCCAAGTATCGAAATTTTATTATATAAATTGCAGATGGGAGTTTTTGGTACTAGAATAATAAAATCTTTTGCTTTTTTAGTCCACTAGAAAACTTAACAGGACCATATAGAGGCCTGAAAAAATGATATGAACAAACAGAGAAATGTATCTTTTTAGATAAACAGATGTTGACAACTTTAGGGACCTAATTGGAAGTTGGAAAAAGGTAATAAATTGCAATATATCTCAATATATTTAAAATGGCAATAAAATCGAATCGCAACATAAATATCGTGATAATATCGTATCATGGGGCCTCTGGTGAAGCCCACCCCTATGTGGACGACACCTGGGTCAAAATTAAAAGCCAGGAAGTGCAAGCCTTCACAGAACACATCAACTCTGTGGACAGTAACATCAAGTTCACACGAGAAGATGTTCACAACAACAGTTTGGCCTTGAACAAAACTACAGGGGAGGAGGAAAAGAAGGTCAAACGCAACAACATTGTGTTTCCATACGTGTCTGGAGTATCAGAGAAACTCAGGAGGATTTTCAACAAACACAACATCCCTGTGTTTTTTAAACCCAAGAACACACTAAGACAGATGCTGGTACACCCCAAAGACCGCACACCCAAACACAAGAAAAGCAATCTAGTGCCAACCACTACACAAACGCATGGCTCAACACAGAAGGGCCAACTCCTCAGGTCAAGACTCTGCAGTCTACTTACATCTGAAGGACAGAGGACACTTGTTTGAGGACCACCAGGTGCACATTTTAGACAGAGAAGATGGATGGTTTGAAAGAGGTGTCAAGGAAGCATCTACACCAGGGTGGAGAAGCCGTCATTGAACAGGGGGAGGGGGTCTACGCCACCACTTATCCCCCACTTACAATGCTGTCCTTTCATCACTTCCCAGGAAACTCAACAAACGTAACCTATTGGCCTCAGGTGAAGATACCAACGATGGTCGTTCAGTCTTGGCCACAGGTAGTCTTAACGACTGTAACGACTGTCGTCACAGCAACAAGGAACACTAACGAACCAGCGGTATCGATGACCCGGGCCAACGACCCCACTGAGGTTAAATAGCTGAGTTTCCCTGCCAGTCAGTCAGAACTGAAGAAGTCCTTTGGATGAGGGACGAAACGTCTTCCAGTATCTTCAACCAAGTCCAGTTGCCCTTCATTTTAACCTTCGTTGGACCCACCCCTAACATTTAAGAGTCCCAAAAGTCCCTCATATTATGTGTAACAGATAAGACATTTGCTTCTCTTGTAATAAGCATACCGCAATATCAGTATATAAGTAAAAATACTAGAATAGTATCCGTAGACAAATAAATTGACAATTATAAGGCTAAAGTAGAACTCTTTCACTCCTTAAATGTGTTTTTCTTTCATTTGATTCATGATTCTCACTGCTCTGCAGCCTTGCTCTGAATGATAACGCTCCCCCGTAGCTCTGGTCTCTCAGGGCATTTCTCTGCTGGTGCCAGGAAGATTTTGCTGGAGCCATAAAGCTGCTTGATAGTATTTTTTCTCCTGGTCTCATCCAGCTCCTCTTCTGACACAGCACTGGGAAATAAACTGTGGTCTTCTGCCTGCTGGGTGGACAATCAATGGACACATTTCAGTTTTCCTGAGGGATGCCGACCAACAAAATGAGGACTAGACTGACTGGCAATCAAAACATTTCCTAGGAAGACAAACAATTTGAAGTAGACTCTACTGACTTTATTGACCATTTCAAACACTACAGAGTTTGTTTGTTGGCTTGTCATTAAGTTAGTATGTTAGCCTCTTCCAACTTATTTAAAAACATAGCTGATTTTAGTTTCAACATCAGTTCCAGTTATAACAATAACAAATTATAATAATACAATTAAATTTCAGATGCCTGACTTTAAGTTACATAAATAAAGAAAACAGAAAAACAAAAACAAAATTAACACTGGATCGTTTTGAATTTTAGAGAGAGATATTAAACAGTAAGTTACATCATGATGTATTGATAATTCTCCATCCTTTTGTACTTTTTGGTGCTTGTGTTAGATTAGTTAACGTTAACACTAGATTATTGCCTTTTTTTCACTTGTCACTTCTAACGTTAGTTAACGTTAAATGGGTGAGATTGAGAATGAAACACTGCTGGTTTATATCCAGTCTGTGGTGCCAACCTACATTAACGTTCCTGCTTTAACTTGGACGTTAGTGTAACGTTTCTTTAAACTTTTCAACTGGGTAGTTAGTTTCAAGAACCTTACAGCTGGTATAAAAAATGCGACCTTACTTAGACTAACGTAACGTTACTAAAATAACTATCTTAGGTTTAACTTATATGTTAATTGTAACTTCTAGCTAGCTAAGTTAACCAACCAACTGACTTAACTTATAACTTACTAAGTTACAAAGATGTGTTTAAGTTACCGTCTGGTCATTTCTCTCTTCAAAAGTGTCCATTCTGTCGTTCAAATAGCTGAAATGGGCTGTTTTATATGAGCTTAGTTACTTTTGCTCTGTTTGACACTTTGGTGACCCTTTGGATATCACCATGGAAACGCCCGAGGAACCAGAGGCTTTTATTTTCTAAACACGGAGTTTCGTCTTTCTTCCGGCGCATCTTCTTTTATACAGTCCAGAGCCCCATAGAGAGAATCTCTTATCTCTTTAAAAGGCTCTGACAGTCTATGGTCAAACCGAGTAGTATTAATGTAAAATGTATTAACAGCTTCTAATAGTGTTGTAGCTAGGAAGTAAACTTTAAACAGGTGAATAAAACATGCGACTCTGCCCATACAGCTAACTTTAGCTAACGTTATTTAACTGCTTTGCTATTTGAAATCTCCTTGAAATGGTTTTAGTTTAGCGCGTTCGGGAGGGGAAGCATTACATAGTTCTCCATGACACCGAATGCAAAATTGCCTCCGACAGCCCGGTGTTTCAGTTTGACAATGAGGACTATTGAGGTACCATTTAGCTCTGTCCCAACCATAGACTGTGATCCCATCCAGATACATGAATGCTTTTATTTTGAAAAAGTCAAAACAGGAAATAACAGACACACATGATCACCTGACTGAAATGTTGACAAAGCAAGTTGGCCACCGGTAAGGAAGCAAACCCACTCGCTGACAGTTTCGGTGGCGACTGGCTGGTTGGAATCGACCAATTGAAATATCCGACGTTTTCACGGTTACCTGTGATACAGTGTGATTTCGGTTCCGTCCTCGTGGCTGCACAGTTGCCAGTTAGTTAGCTGGGAGGATAACCCTAGAGTAGCTACTATTGATTTTCGTTCAGAGAGACCTGTGATCCATGCAAAAGGTGAACAAGAAGAGAGGGTAAACATCAGGAAACGTCCCTACTGTCAGTATGGACATCCAGAGTGAGAGGAGAAGGCTGCTGGATGCGGATGGTGGAGATGAGGATCCTACAGGACTCATGTCTGAGCAGGATGCTTATTTGAGGTCAGTTAACACACTAACACACCAGCTCAGCGTAGCTGCAGTCAGTATACTGCATAATCAGCTGGAAGAGCAATTGATGGAGATCTAAAGACAGATGGATTGTTAAGGGATCATTCCAGAGGTTTTGCATGTCTTAGCCCATTTACTACGAATAACATACTTCACATCACATTTAACAATTAGGCAAACAATGTTTGTGTGTCTAAACATATGAATGCACTTTGTCTGTCATTCCAAGGATCCAGTCGTAAACTGCTGACACTTCCTTAACTAATCTATCAAAGTAAACATCCAGTCTGCAGTCATTCAGTTACATTATCATTTTGATGTAATCAGTCTACACAGTGCATTAGCTTTACCATGCAGCAATAGTGTATTTGTTTAGCCCAAAATATATCAGATAATTATGAAAAATCATGTCTATCACAAGTTCCTAAAGCCCTTCAAATTGCTTGTTCAATCCAACACCAGACGCTGGAGTCAAATAAGACTTTTGCTTGAAAAATTGCTTAAATGATGATGCAGTCAACAGAATTGTTGCCAGTTTTTTTCTTTTAGTCAGTTTTAGCAAAACATTTTTTTGTTGTTCCTTTATGTCCTACAGTAGGATTTAAGTTTTCAAAATCCATAACTTACAGCCTGCTTTCAAAGCTGGTCAGCAAAAATGGAAAGTTTGCTCAATTTGCAGTTACAGAGTTAAGTCCAACACTCCAAACACTTTTCTACCACGTAGTCAGTGCGTTGATGTACTTCTTCACTGTTCCATCTGTTAATCTCAGACACCACTGTTAAAATATGAATTCAATGTTTTTATCATTCTCAGTGTTTAAAATGTTTAGTGAAAGTCATGTCACTTAGCAAAAGTCATCTATCTATTGGCATCGGTCGGCCTTCAACCCCATTTAGTCTGCCTAAGGATGAAATTATGATTACTCAGCTATTATTGAAGTTTATGTGCACATGATTACAAATATGTACTGTGTTAATGTGTGTTTTCATCTGTAGCCTGCAGCAGGTATGACTGTACAACAGTTTTATGTGCATATTGTGTATTGCTGTAGTTTATCTCACTTTTATACATTTTATAAATTTTGTAACACTTTCCAACAAAACATAATTTTCATGTGATATTTGGCTATAATGAACTTTGACTTTAAAGTAAATATTACTTTGCTATAACCATAACTTCACTGTAAGTCAATAACAAATATTAAAAAAAACACGCAGCTCCAGTTGATCATAGCCATGCAATGCAATAAGAACATAGACAGAATATAGGGTTAGGGAAGAGAAATTGAATTGTAGTGACACAAAGTGGCATGAATGTGCAGGCCATGAAAGCTGACTCGAGCCAGGGCGTTTTGATGTGTGATGTAAGCAGCTGCACTGTCCTTTGATAATGTTTGACACACTGACATTTGACACTTACCTCCGTTACCCGCTTTGTTCCTCTTTCTCGCCACAGTAAAGTGAAGAACAAGAAGTTGTACCTGGCAACGTTTGCCTCTGTTCTGGGTCCCATGAGCTTCGGGTTCGTGTTGGGATACAGCTCTCCTGCCATCCCCCAACTTACCAGGATCGCTGACCCTCGGCTGCGGCTGAACGACGTCCAGGCCTCCTGGTTTGGGGTATAATGGCCACTGTCATGATTTAATGTCACATGCCTCAATTCAGCATTCACACCATGTGTTTTTAACTTGTCAGCAGTTTTAAGTCATCACATGTTGTCCAAACACACCTCAGTGGATTCACTTGAGTTCAAACCTAGTAGCGGATGTCAAATGAAAGATTTGGTTGACTTTGGTTACTCACCATGTATGAAACTAAACATGTCTGAAGCTAAATATGGATTACTTCCTGAAAATTTACAGAAGTTATTTAAACGAGTAGAAGATTATGAGCATGATATTATATATTATTATATCATAAAATAATATGTGTCATATCATTTTTATTGTGCGTGAACGTATTGATTTGGGGTTATAAACTAAAATTAGCGTCATGTATAAACATGACTGTATGATTTAGGTGCAGATTTGAGCAAAATCATTTACTTTTGTAGCTTTTACTTCTACATAACTTGGTCGGACATGGGGTAAAATGCAAATGAAATTCTAGAAAACATTCCTGATGCTCTGTGATGTTTGTTTTTCAGTCCATAGTGACGGTGGGAGCGGCAGTGGGCGGCCTTCTGGGCGGTTGGATGGTGGGGAAGGTCGGCAGGAAGCTCACTCTGATGTTCTGCTCGCTGCCGTTCGTCTTTGGGTTCACCATCATCATCGCGGCACAGAACGTGTGGATGTTTTACCTCGGCAGAGTGCTCACCGGCCTCGCCAGCGGGGTCACGTCACTGGTCGTCCCGGTAAGAAGCACGTGGCGGTCTTTTTCTGTTCTGTTGGCCACGTTCCTGCCTGAACTCCTGTTTATCATCGTGTTGTCATCTATCACAATACTGACACGCCGTGGCTTTTCTTTCTCTTCCCCCTGCTTTCCTTTGTTGATGTTCATACTGTGATTTCCACCCTCACTATTAAGACACACACGTTAAAAATCAGATTACTTTGAGTAATCGATTTAAACCATTTGCTTCCTTGGTGGGATTAGTCTGAAACTCCAGTTAATGGCAAGTCTGGTCAGTAATCACGTTCTTTCCCTGCACATTTCTGGTATTTTTACAGGAATATTGGCATACAATTAATTGTTAATCTTTTAGAATATTTTGCAAGATGAATGTCTGTCTGGATTAATCGGTAATAGTAATACACAACTCCCAGGTCTCCAAGTTTCTTTATCATGCTTATGTGAATAAAAGCCTCTGCCAAAATGCCTAAAATATTGGTTGGTTGCTGTAACTCTGATGTTCTGGTACGTTCCTCCTGTGTAATTTTCTCCTTTTTATCTCTTCATACAGCTGTATATCTCTGAAATGGCACACGAGCGAGTACGCGGGATGTTAGGCTCCTGTGTGCAACTCAGCGTGGTGCTCGGCATCATGGGAGTGTATCTCGCAGGTATGTAAGTTCAGCTGCCCTTAAATGTAATTTTGTAAAGTCTGACTGCAGGTAATTGAAACTTGCTGAATGTTTATATGAAGATAAGAAAGAAAAGTCCTTCAAGGTGACTCGAACACAGCTGTTTACAAGCTGTAAATCGAGGGTTTTCCATGATGTAACTTACAACTTTACAACAGCCACCATTAAAACAGTAGCTACATGATGCAGAGCGACGAAGCTTTTATCCAAAACTGCTAAACATCTTTGCTCTTAAATAGTGTAGTGAAGCATAGTGCAAAGGATTTCTTGGGTTACTAGACTGTTTTAAACATCTGGATCAAAGGATGTGAAGAGTAGATGACCAAAGCCTGGCCATCATGTGATGTGATCGTCCTCAGCTATGGTCCTGTGTGCTGCCTCTTCGACGGCAGCCTCACTGGTGAAAATAGCTGCCTCTCGCTAATCTTGTTAGCTGCATGCCATTCACGTTTACCCAATAAAAGCTGGTGTGTCACATGAGGTGGGTTGTTTCGTGTTAGAGGAGCATGAAAAAATGTTTTTGTTTGTTTGGGTTAAATTACCCTTTTTTAAATGTGTAACAGATCTGGTACAGACTTAGTTGACGTCCTATAAAGGACAAGATGATTCCGTGAACTAAAGATCTGTTTACAATGAAGACAAATATATTATCAGATGCAATGTAATTATCATGGTTATAATTGTTTGATAGTTTGCATAACATAGCTGCTGTTCAGCACAAAGATATGAAACAATGTGCTTATTGTAGACACTTCATTGGAACAATCAGATCAGCAGAGAAATATATTTTTAGATGCAGCAAATGAAGACAATCATGAGGAAACCTGGACTTGACAAGGCTCCGCTGTTTCCTGCAGCATTCACTCTGCCATGTACAGTCCAGTGCTGGAGAAAACCTCAAATCGTCTGGTCACCCTTTTAAACATGTGGACAAGAGGGGACAGGCGTCTGATGTCATGCTGGGAATGTTGATTGAAAATTCTCCTTTGGTTTTCAATGGGATTCCTCTTTCTGTTGGAAGGTCCTTTAATTCCTACCTCTCAGTATCCTCTGTCTGATTGATTGTCTGATTGATTGTTTACCGGTTCTTCCATCCTTAAAACGAGTACAGGTAAAATCTCAAAATAGAAGCGATACAGGAGATAAGTGAGTTTTAATTAAAGGTTAAGCGTGTAGGTTCTAGTGACATCTAGGGGTGAGGGTTTGGAATTGCAACAAACTCCTAACTCACAGCCTGACAATGCATTTGTAAATTTGAAGTTTACAAATGCATTGTCAGGTGAGGATCAAGACTCCTCTCTACTTTGTTCAATTAGATAAGCAAACTGCAAATCTTACCAAAATTTTTATTCTTTGAAATGCAACAGAAACACAAAGTAGCACTAATAGTCATAATTTTAGCTTGTGGTGAAACGGTGCAAGGTTTTTCATGGGCATTTAGCATGTGAATTATCAAAATACATGCGTGCAAGTAATAGCCCACAGACAAATAAGTTTTGTTATGCATATACCAAAAGTATAAGCATTATTGGTCACTTGATAGGTACACGGGGCACATGGGACACACAGTCTTATTATTGTTACAGTGTTTGCAGTAAAAAAAAAAAAACCAACAGAGAACTTCAGCGCCGCTTTGAAAACATTTGTCCCGCATCAGCTCCTTGATTAAATCCTTGATTTCTGCCGTCATCCGCCTGTATCTGTCCCAAGTCCTCTAGCTTCATTGTGTTTTTGCTTCTTTGACGATCCACATGCTGTCGGCTCGTGCTAACTAATACGCTTAATGTTAGTCCTACGTTTTTCCAAGTTTTACTTCCCTTCTTACCTCTAATAAACCAGATTACTGTACTCAGAGACTGTATAATATTATTGTTATTATTTCTTCGCATTCGATAGAGATGACAGCGACTGACTTTCGCCGACTTGATAGTCCAACGTGAGCTGCAGGTTACTGCATGGGCGGGGAACAAAAACGGCGCCATCAAGCCGGACACATTCCTGTGTTCCTGCATTCCTGAGCTGAGATCAATGACTGACCTTGTGGCATTTGCAAAGAAAAATGCCACAAGACCAGGCAATAGTGTAGTTTCAACTTTGTGCAGCCAGAGAAAAGCAACTGCGGCTGCCAACCAGCATGCCTTATTTCAAGTCCAGCATGCATCACGTTAAGTCAGCGCTGCGCAGCACCCCATGAAGTCAAACGCACCTAATATAGTGACGAGTGTTTACACTGCCGGTATTACACATTACAAGAAGAAGAACAACAACTTAATGACGAAATACTCTGTAGCACTGTTTGTCCGTTTTTGGCTACTGTAGAAACATAGTGACACAACATGGCAACCTCTATGTATGGCAGGATAGAAATGCTTTATTCTAAGGTAATAAAACCATACCGGTTCATTATGTAAGGTCTTTATACACCACTGAAAGCATAGCTATGGCTCTTAAATTGCATTTCTGTCAAAAATTCTCAGAAATAACACTGGATCTTTAATGTTATGATGTATTTGTTGTAAATCCATAGGATTACGTTCTGCACAGCGGCTAGAAAAGACATTAATATGTTAGATATTTACTTTTTATTATGGAGACAAATTTTATTACAGGGAAAATAAGTTCTACTACCAAAGGTCAAACTCTCTTCCAGTTTCTCGTTCTGAGCTGTGTGTACTCACCCTGCAGGTCTCTTCATGGACTGGCGCTGGCTGGCGATCTGCAGCTCCATCCCGCCCACGCTGCTGATGGTCTGTATGTGCTTCATGCCAGAGACGCCCCGGTACCTGCTGTCACAGGGTAAGAGGCGGGAGGCTGAGGAGGCGCTACGCTTCCTGCGAGGACCTGACGCCTCCGTCGAATGGGAGTGCGCCCGCATCGAGGATGCCTGTGATGAGCAGGTGAGACTGTGGCCGGTCAGCTGTGAGGCAGCGGACAGTTTCAGCCAGTGAGAATGAACCACTGTAGACGCTGCAGAAACCAAAGGCTCAAATCAACAAATTAGTTGAGAAAAGACTCCTCAGTGCTAATACCACCACTGTTGGGAATGTTGATGTAAATACTGTTTAAGTCAAAGTGTCAAGCAGTCTAAGATGCAGTCATGACCGTGGTCTTTCTGTTGTCTCTCAGGGCTCTAGTTTCCACATGTCGGACCTGAGGGACCCCGGGGTCTACAAGCCTCTGGTGATCGGTGTCATGCTGATGTTGTTTCAGCAGATGACGGGGATCAATGCCATAATGTTCTACGCTGAGAGCATATTTCAACAGGCACATTTCAAGGTTTGGGGGTTTTATTGTTATTTATTTGGGGAAAATGAACACAGGCTCCTAGCTTTCCAATCAGTTGCAAATATATTCAGTTTCACACATGTGCACAACCAATACTGTCCTGTACTGTCAATGTTGCCTTTATCCTTGTTTATGGCCTGTGTTGCTCGATGCAATGTTAGGTGAAAATAGTATACAAAAATTTTAATCATAATTGCTCCACATTGCTCTCTCAGTAATGTAGAGAAAAAAATAGAAATATACTGAAAAACTAAGATGTGTTTTTGATTATAAATAAGAACAGTACAATATGATCAATCAATCAATGAATTCTGATCAAGTGTATCATCAGAACTTTTAAGAATGTAAAATCCTTACTAAAAAAAGAGTACAACTACAACTGAATCTAAATGCTAACAAAAACTAAATATCCAGCATCCAAAAAAGGATAAGTCAAGGGCAACTGGACTTGGTTGAAGATACTAGAAGACGTTTCGTCCCTCATCCAAGAGACTTCTTCAGTTCTGACTGACTGGCAGGGAAACTCAGCTTTAACTTAAATTTAATCTCAGTGGGGTCGTTTGCCAAGATCATCGATACTGCTGATTCGTTAGTGCTCCTGGTTGTTGTAATGACCCTCAACTCCTTCAGAGGAATAGCACTGAGCCACTGGTACAGGTATGTGGACGACACCTGGGTCAAAATTAAAAGCCAGGAAGTGCAAGCCTCACAGAACACATCAACTCTGTGGACAGTAACATCAAGTTCACACGAGAAGATGTTCACAACAACAGTTTGGCCTTCCTGGACTGCGCTGTACATGTTGAACAGGACAGGAGCCTGCAAATTGGGGTTTACAGAAAACCCACACACACAGACCTATACTTACTTTTCAATTCCCACCACCCACTGGAACATAAGCTAGGAGTCATCAGAACCCTGCACCACAGAGTGGACAACATACCAACAAGTGTGCAAGCCAGAGAGAAGGAACAGAACCACCTGAAGGGGGCACTTACAGCCTGTGGATACCCTAAATGGACCTTTGTGAAAACAGCCACAAGATCCAGGAAGAAGACCAACACTACAGGGGATGAAGAGAAGAAGGTCAAACGAATGTGATTCCATACGTGTCTGGAGTATCAGAGAAACTCAGGAGGATTTTCAACAAACATAACATCCCTGTGGTTTTTAAACCCAAAAACACACTAAGACAGATGCTGGTACACCCCAAAGACCGCACACCCAAACACAAGAAAAGCAATCTAGTGTATTTGGTCCAATGCAGTGAGGAATGCACAGACCTGTATATTGGGGAGACTAAACAACCACTACACAAACGCATGGCTCAACACAGAAGGGCCAACTCCTCAGGTCAAGACTCTGCAGTCTACTTACATTTGAAGGACAGAGGACACTCGTTTGAGGACCACCAGGTGCACATTTTAGACAGAAAAGATGGATGGTTTGAAAGAGGTGTCAAGGAAGCCATCTACACCAGGGTTGAGAAGCCGTCACTTAACAGAGCAAGGGGTCTATGCCACCACTTATCCCCCTCTTACAATGCTGTCCTTTCATCCCTTCCCAGGAAACTTAACAAGTGTTACCTCTCGGCCTTAGTTGAAGATACCAACGATGGTCGTTCAGACTTGGCCACAGGTGGTTCTAACGACCATAACGTCCTTGATCCCCTGCAGTTCACCTACAGAGCCAACAGGTAGGCCAACCTATGCCAGGATCCTGTTTGTTTTTTTCAGGTGGTGTTTTCAGCTCTGCTTTCAACACCATCATCCCGGGGCCTGCTGCAGGACAAGCTCTCTCAGCTGAACATGCCTGACTCCACCTACAGGTGGATCACTGACATCTTGTCGGACAGGAAGTAGCTCATTGAAATGGGAAAACATGTCTCTGACTCCAGGACCATCAGCACCGGTTCCCCTCATGGCTGCATTCTTTCCCCTCTGCTCTTCTCCTTGTATACCAACAGCTGCACCTCCAGTCACCAGTCCATCAAGCTACTGAAGTTTGCGGATGACACCACCCTCATTGGGCTCATCTCTGCCAGAGACAAGGACAGGCTGCAACGTATCATTCGCTCTGCAGAGGTGATTGGGTGCAATCTTCCGCCACTTCAGGACCTGTACGCCTCCAGGACTCTAAAGCGAGCAGGAAAGATTGCAGCTGACCCCTCCCATCCTGGACACAAACTGTCTCAGACTCTCCCCTCCGGCAGAAGTACCGGTCAATCAGGACTAAAACCTCTCGCTACAAAAGCAGCTTCTTCCCGTCTGTAGCTAGCCTCATCAACAAGGACCGGGTTACCACTGACACTCCCCCCTTTCAAATAATACGTGTGCACAACACAAAACGGAGTAATGCACGTAAATATCTGCGAATATATCTAATATCTAATCCACATTGTTCTTTCTCTGCAAATAGTTGTATTATTTTTCTCTATTCTTTTTAGTATTCTTATATAACCTGCATCTGTTTATTCCATATTTATATATTTCTGCATTTATTTATGCCAACTGTATATTTGTCTGCGTCTAGCACCTTATTAACAAAGGAAATTACTCGTATGTGTAAAACACTACTTGGCAATAAAGCTCCTTCTGATTCTGATTCTGATTCTGACGTTACAACAGCGAGGAGCACTAACGAATCAACAGTATCGATGATCTTGGCAAACAACCCCACAGAGGTTAAATAGCTGAGTTTCTCTACTAGTCATTTCAGAACGTAAGAAGTCTCTTGGATGAGTGACGAAACGTCTTCTAGTATCTTCAACCAAGTCCAGTTGCCCTTTAACAAGTTGACTTCAACCTTTTTTGGATAACTATGACTTGGATGACTGAGAACCTTCACAGACATGAATATCCAGCACACATTCCACATAAATTTGTAATTAAGCTGTTGCACTTTTAGCAGATTTTCAGTGAAAACGCAGTTTTACGTTGTGGAAAGGATAGTTGTGAATGTTTTGCTGTTGTCTTTTCAGGAGAGTGACCTGGCTTCAGTGATCGTGGGTCTGATTCAGGTCGTCTTTACAGCAGTGGCAGCCATCATCATGGACAAAGCTGGAAGGAAAGTCCTTCTCATCATCTCAGGTATTTTCAGTCAAATTGAATCATTTAAACAAATTTGATTTCCTTTTTTTAAATATAAAACATTAATTTGGAGGGAATGTCCTGTTCGTCACATGTTCGCTGTTTCTCATTTACTGCCATCTCTCTTTATGATCGACTCTCATATAAAAATTTATTGGATTGTGGTACAAGGTTCTCAAATGAAATAATTTCATCAGTTCAGCACTCTCTGTAGCACCAGACAAGACTGCGAGGTTATGGCAGATTCTGTTTATTTTCCCATTAATTATCAAGGTGCTGCCATGGCAATCAGCACCACAGCATTCGGGGTCTACTTCTACCTGATGTCCAAACTACCCAGCACCACCTCGGCGGGTCTCTTGGTGCTGGAAATCCAGAGCACAGCTGGAGAAGAACCCCACGCTGACCTGGCATGGCTGGCCCTCGCCAGCATGGCCGTCTTCATCACAGGTGAGATCCTCTACCAGTCAAAGTTATTCAAGCTAGCTTATCAGCGGCATGAAAGGTTTTATATTTAAATGCTCTGGTCAAAATGATGAAACAAGATTCCAAAGGTTTGGTGAAATAATAGTTTTCTGAATTAACTCAACAACAGTACAATGCTAGCATTCTTTATCCCAGTCCTCTCCCTCTCTCCAAATCCCTTTCCCTACACAATCTACATAACCCATCACCTGTCCTCCATTATCTACATCCCCCCTTTTACCCAATATTCGTGTCTGTTTGTTGTTTTCAGTGGCATCCTTTTGTGAAATATTCTATGTCCTTTGTGATTTGTTTCATTTCTGATGGCAAAGTAAAGCATGGCAGTCTGGGGCAATGAACTAGTGGGAGGGGGCAGTGGTTCCCATTTTTAAAAAGGGAAACTGGAGAATGTGCTTCAGATATTGCCTGAGAAGCGGATCATTTTGCCCCTGATAATGTCTTGATAGCACAAATTCACAGGGCCAAATCTGGGAGTCATCTGCAAACCCCCTAATGACCCAGTGGCACAGTGACTTTTAATTGCTGCTGTGTTTTTGCTTTCAGGATTTGCTCTTGGCTGGGGTCCAATCCCGTGGCTGGTTATGTCGGAGATTTTCCCCGTCAAAGCAAGGGGGGTTGCCAGCGCTGTCTGCGTCCTCACCAACTGGAGCATGGCTTTCATCGTCACCAAAACCTTCCAAGACATGATGGTGAGCGCTCACCAAGACACGATTTCAAGGGTTTGGTTATATAAAGATGATGAAAGTATGTTTTCTCGACCTCACACAACAGTTTCTCACAATATTAACATACAGTTTAACTATTATTATTCAATGATTGAGGCATAACATCCTGTTGAAACTGTTACCTTATGATAACAGAATACGTACATGTCACCACTGACTTTCTGTATCTTTGATTCATCTTTGGACCTGTCAGTGTCGCGTTGAAAGGAGAGATAAAATAATTACTTGGTTAATCAACCAATTGATTGACAGAAAAAGAAAAAATATTCAAGTAATCAGGAAAGTATCAGGAAAATGATTGAAAAACATTCTGTGGTTCCAGTTTCTTCAGTATTTTATTTAATTGTAAACCGAATATTTTTGGGGGTTTGTACTTTTGGACTGTTACAGTCTTTTGACATTTCATCGACTTAATAATCAATGAAGTAATCAAAACATTAATCAACAAATGATTTAATAAATAATCCTTAGTTGCGGCTGTGTCTACAGACCTTTTGCCTTTGTATGTGTTTTGGTGTATGTTGGTCTTTGAAACCTTCTGTGGCCTCTTAAACATCACTGAGACATTCATGTCTATATCTGCAACCTCTCCCAGAACCTTCTAACCAGCGCAGGAACCTTCTGGCTGTTTGCCTGTATGTGCATCATCAACGTCATCTTCACCATTTCCTTCGTCCCAGAAACAAAGGGCAAGACACTGGAGCAGATCGAAGCCACTTTCAGAGGCACATCAGGTCCATGAAGCCCCTCTCCCACCGGCCAAAAGACATCACATGTGTCAAATCTCAGACCTCATACTCCTGAACTGACAGGTCCTCGGGGCATTTTTTTCAAATCTTTCTTAAGCTTATGAAGCTGATTGGGTGACATGCAGCAAAGGGCCTCGGGCTGGACTGGATCCCGGGCCGCTGTGGTAAGCCTTGGTACGTTAGACTAAACTGGGTGTAAATCATCTGTTTCCGTAGGAAGTCTGAGCTAAACACTTAATTATATTAATTATTAAATCGGGTAATTAAATACAGTTTTCCGCAGGTCACATCCTTAAACTTTTATGTTTTATACTGAGAAACAACATATGTAATATCAACAAAAAGACTAGACTGAAGTGCTCGCTCAGACACTGAGTTGCAGAGTGACTCCCAGTGAGAAGATTCAGCACAAGTTTATTAGTGTCTTGTTCAAAAACACTTGGATTGGATGGGTGTTAAAATTTTTGTTAGTGAAACACTGGGCTGTTGTGGAGATGAACCTGCACCCTCAGTGGTTTTTGCTACCTCCAGTAAGACACCACTCTACACTGCCTCCTGCAGGTCTAACTTATGTAATTCACCGCCAAGACAACACATTCTGATCAGTGAAGTTCTGACTGAAATCTGTCCTAAACAGTTGTTCGTTTTTCTACACTGAAAACACTTTCCTTTTGAGAAAAGCTGGTACAATGCTAAAGCAGAATGTGGGGGATACAGACACAATATCGCTGTTCAATTACTTTGATTCAGTGCCAAATACATCAGGAATATTTTCTGTCTTCACTAGGTAGGGATCATGCCTGTGGTGCTTGCTCCTTAAACTCAAAACAAAGTGTATCTTCAAGGAATTTTGCAGAAACTTTATAGCACTGATGTTTTGAGAAGTGAGTCTGTTGTTTACACTGACTGTGCTGACTGTTACAAAACAGTGAAGTGAAACTAAAAAGATTATGTAATGAAAAACTTTGAAACATCTATCATCTGTAGAATTAAAAAAAACGCCTCTAATAAGAAAAAGGGTTTGGGTTTGGGGTTTGTTTTTGTAATAATTTTTTCTTAAAATATTCTTGTAAAGGAAATGTTTGAAACTATTATGTGACTTGTTTGCTATGAGTTCGGTGAAGTTATAAAAATAAATAGATGATAAATGGTCAATAGATAAATGAAGCTTTTTGACTCAGTTTTTCCACTATGAATTTCCAAGTTTGTGTTTTTCATTATCCCGGTGTGAAACTGAATCATACCATAAACTGTCTGTGAATAAAATCACTGTTTTGGACATCTTGTGTTAAGTGGTAATGATTCATTGATCTTCAGCTTTATTATTATTTTCAATTACAGTCTCAGCTTGTCTAAAGTGGACATGATGAAAAGTCACAAATGACATGAATATGTCATAACAAATGATAAAGTAAGCCTTTCATCAATGTAGAATTTTTAAAGCAAATACAACACTCTGACAGGATGATGAATTTATCTCAAATGATCATCATCATCATCATCATCATCATCATCATCATGATCACAGAATACTGAACTTTAATTCCAGGTGTTGAATGGTTGCATGGTGCCGTAATACCCATCGATTAAGAATATGTTGAAATTACATTCAAATCAAAAACTACTTCAGTTTTGAATAAAAAAGGTGTTTGTATGTGAAAAGAAACATTGTATTTGATTCATTAGCAACAAAATTATTATCTCTTAAAGGCTCAAATAGAAAACTCAAAAGTGATGCGAACAAATTATTACATTTGAGACCTTTATTTAGTTTTGCCCCTTGATACGCTGAAGAGATTTTTAAACAGATCAGTTAATTCTTGCTCACTTGCATCGTTTTCTCCCTCATGAATCCTCTGAACTAAAAAACTAAATAATATTATTTAATTAACTTACAAAAAGAGAACAAAATAATGACAAAAATACAGCCTACATCCATTTGTAGTAGCCTCCATATTTATCAAAAATTAGGTGGGCATGCTTTTCTATCCAAAGACAGTCTGCAATTTGGCTTGGAAATGGTCTTGAAATGTCTTGAGAAAGCAGTAACCATAAGTAGACAAATGTATAATGCAGTGGTTCTCAAACTATTTCATGTCAAGGACCCCTAAACAGGCACCCATTTGATTCCAAAAGCCAAAGCATATGAAACCCATAATCAAAATAGTCATATATTCTGTCACTGTGTTACCCCTTAGAGCACTGTCAAGAACCACTGCTCTACTGGATGGGGTAAATGTTATTCAAGATCATTTAAAACACTTTCTTTAAAACACAGCGTCTTCACACTTTTCTCCAACGTTTAAATCCTGAGTTTGCGCACTTCAACTTATAAGACTTTTCAAAATAAAAGCTGTATCAAGTAAATTATCCAGCGACGTGACAAATTTGATTATCTTTTTTGCCCTGAAGTTTGATTAATTACACAAACGACTACATAAAATCAGCGAAAACATGCTACCGACTAGTTTCTTTTACTATATCTTTAAGAGGTCTGCAAAGTTCCTACCCTGAGGAATTATTGTGAAAGCTGCACTGCACGCTGTTCCTGTCCGCGTTAAAAAATAACGGAAACACTTCCTGGGCTGCCCTGTGTAACCTCGACTGTCGTCCGGGGCCGCCTGTCTGCCGCTGCTCGGCTCGGAGACTCGGCGATGCTGCTGCAGAGATGGAGTTGAATCACAAAAACAACAAAGTGTCGAACAGAGTTTGAAACAAAGGGAGGGGGGTTAGCGTTAGTTCCTCAGCTGAACGGGTCGCTGGATGCCCTTTTTGTTGAAGAGGAATATACGAGGAGATTAAAATAACTGGGTTGAAAATGAAGCTGCTGAAGCCGAGCTGGGTGAGCCACAACGGTAAGCTTGTGCAGGAATCTGTTGGACCAAGTTGGGCTTTTGTTGTCGGAGGGGGGCGAATTGAATTGATAAGGAGGCATCATTGTGGTCGACACTTGTTTGACTTGTTTGTTGTCACTTAATATGCACTCACATACCAGACTTAATTCAACAACTCAGCACACACATGTGGCGTTTTTGTCATTCCCAGTGTCACTCCTCGCTGTTCCAAATGTAAGGTTATTAATGTTTGCTAACCGAAGCTAGCTAGCTAGTTAGCCCCCCTGGCTAGCTCGGATACCCTGACGGCTAACTTACCTGCCAAATGACCCATGTCAAAGTTATTGTCTCAGAGTGATTTCTTGTTCGATGTTTTAGTCCACAACGACATTTAAGCAAACAAGCATTTGTTTTGGACAGTGAACAACCTCGATGTTGAGCAAACGAAAAAGTGTTGGTGAAAGCTGTTAATTTGGAAAGTTAACCGTTAGGGAAATGGCCTGAATATAGGGTGAAGCCAACGATTACTGTCATTAGAGTTAACGTTAAGTAATTTGTTTCTAAGATTAGTCGTTTGGACTGCGAAGCATCATGCACATTTGTAAATAACAATCTCAACGTGCCAGAAATCCAAATGGGCAAGTGATATGTTCAGATACCTCCTTATCTTAACTAACGGCCCATAACTGACTGATTTACAGTGGGATGAAATGGAGACAGCAAGCAAATCATCACAGTTTAAAAGCTGCAACCAGCAGATTTTTGGTGTTTTTGTTGATAAATTGCTTTCAGTACTAATGCGCTGTGACACTCACTAGCAGGAGCTTACTTCGTTTTCCAGTGTGCACGAGTAAAATGTTCAAATTAAAGGATGAACCCCCCAAAGAAGCTATGAATCATTTAGTAGTTACATAGTGAGACATGCTCTTCACAGTTACTCAGAACCGAAGGGGACATCTTTAGATGTGTTGACAGTGTGACCAATACTCCAAAACTCAAAGATGCTCCATTTATATTCATGTTAAACAGAGAAAAGCAACAAATCCTCACATTTAAGAAGTTGGGACCAGTTTTCTTTTCTTCATCTTTTTTGCTTCATTGATTGGTCATTTTAGGTCTTCCTGAAACCACTTATCCCACAGCTCCAGGAGCATTATTAACTTGATAAATGGTTTATGAATATTCTTCTCATGTTCTTTTTTACTGTGACACCTACAGTGGCAACACTGCAACCTACAGTAGTTAGGTAAATGTAAGTTATATAACAACATACACAAGAACATGTGTTTTTTAATATTGTGTAATTTAGCTAAATCTTATTACAGGAAAAACTACAGGATGCATGTTAAGCTGTGGAAAATCACAGAACAATTAGGAAATGTTCAATCAGGCTAAAATTCTGTGTCTTGTGGAAATGTGCTCCATATAATCTTTCTCCCTTAAAACTCCCTTTTCTTTCTTCTGTTTTCAATTATTATTGGTTATTTATCTACAATTTCAGTTTACGGTATATGTTGGTCTATGTCTATGACTCAATTAAATATAATTAAATGTTGATTTATGTGTTGTTTTACAGGCAAACCTATATTTTCTGTTGACATCCACCCTGATGGGACAAAATTTGCAACTGGTGGGCAAGGTAAGACCAATACCATTGTTTCCATCCTCTGGCACTGAAACTGCTTCACTGTTCTGTGATGTTGTGCTGACATGTTGTGTTAGGATCCACATTTAGATGGTGTCTGTCCAGTGCTTGATGCCTTTCTGGGTCGGTGATATTTGACAGCATTGGTGTTTTTAAACACCTAGTTCTGACTCTGTATCACACCGTGCTAAATGTTCTCCTGCAGCCTCAGACTACAGATTTATTTTGCTGCCTAGAAAATGTTTCCTCATCTGTCACTACTCGGGTGGGGTTTTCAAATTAAAACACAAAGATGTCCTTATCATTCTGTCACGACACATAAAGTCAGATGTGGATGAGTTGTGCATTCTTTTAATGAGGGATTTGTTTTCAGGAGAGGATTCTGGCAAGGTGATGATCTGGAACATGGCGCCAGTCCTCAGAGAGGAAGACGAGAAGAATGAAAATATTCCCAAAATGCTTTGCCAGATGGACAATCACCTAGGTAACCAGTCCTATCTCTATTAGTTTGATCTAAATAAGCCTTGTTGATCAATTCACCCATGGGAACAGCTCTCCAAGTACTTTTAGGATACTGTTGCTTCTAAAGGTGTGTGAATTTTCAACTTGTGTTATTCACACACATACAGCTGCTGGAGGGTTTTGGGGAGTATTTCGCAACCCCCCAATATTTGCCGTTAACAGCCAGTGGAAGTCGGCCTATTCCTGTGCTAAGTAGGAAGGCAGATGTTGACTTATGTTATGGCGTTACTTGTCTTTATAACCAGCCGTCCAGCACAGCACAGACAGAAGCTGCCTACAGGCTGAATGCTATAAGAAAATCAATGGAACACCCATGAGACACATACAACAAGAAAATGGCATTGTTTTATTGATGTATTTTATTTCCAGCTGCCCACAGCAGCTCTTTATGCCTGTAAAGAGACCCAGGATCTCATAGTGAAACTGGTGGCCTTGATCAATTATAGATGAACAGAAGATAACAAATAGACGTAGTGAAAGATTTGTGTGGTTTGAGCCGCTTCTTATGAATATTACATTTCTGTAAGAGTGCCAGAGAAAAACTGTTTACCTGCAGCGCTACACACCACAAAAATTTGAGGGGATATATTCATATTCATAACAATTCATATTTACTCAGATGAGAATGTACCTGTTCTGTAAAATGACTACAGGAGTGCTGCCGTGTGCATTGAGACAACGTCTATAGAGCCAGCAGCTTAAAGGTTGGAGGAGACCTGCTCTGATGAAATAGTTATTCTCCGCAGACAACAACTGCTGCAGGAGAATGTGTTTGTACTCGTGTGATGGTGTTCCCTGGACAAACAGATTAAAATAACTTCATCTGTCCTGCACAACTACTGACAAGGGCATAGTGAGAGGACCAAATTAATGTACAAGCTTCCAGGTTTAATAATAGGAACATCTTGACGGTACTATTAATGCCCACCATAACAGACAGCCTGCTCAGCACAAATCCATACGAGTTATATTTATAACTTGAGTCAGCAGAAGTGTGTGTTTGTCTCTGCAGCGTGTGTGAACTGTGTGCGCTGGTCCAACAACGGGCTGTACCTGGCATCAGGAGGGGACGACAAGCTGGTCATGGTGTGGAAGAGAGCTGCGTATGTACACAGACGCACATAAAATGTGCAAATACACATGATGTATTTGTTGTTAAAGTCCAGTCTTGGTGATATAGACAGTAATGTTGTGTTTTTAGATCAATTTCCACAGATAATGTTCTAAATTCGAATGAAATCTTTAAGGTTTGTGCTGTTTGTGAACCTATTACTGGTGGGTGGTGCTGATTGATTTTGAAAACGTGTGTGTTGATAGATTCATTGGTCCGAGCACAGTGTTCGGGTCGAGCAGTAAGCTGGCCAACGTTGAGCAGTGGAGGTGTGTCACCATCCTGAGGAACCACACTGGAGGTAAGACACACACACACACACACACACACACACACTTCTAAAATCAAGCATTGTTTGCTTTCATGTCTACTAGCTCGCCATCTTCTTCTGCTCTGCCTTTGTTTTGCGTTGTAGCATATCTTGGCGTGTTACCACCTTTTAGATCAGTGGAACAGTGTGAAACCGTTGGCAGGAATATGTATCTGCGTGTTCGTGCATCCTCAAGTGCGTGCACGAGATAAACAAAACGGGGAGAGAACAGCGCTCTAGCTCTGCTAGAGGTCTAAAACGCCACAGGGAACCTTTTAACTAGTAACACATCTCTAGACTCAGGCAGTGATTTCTGTGTGTGTGTGTTTTTGTTTATAGATGTGATGGACGTGGCGTGGTCTCCTCATGACGTGTGGCTGGCCTCCTGCAGCGTGGACAATACCATTGTCATCTGGAACGCTCGCAAATTTCCAGGTAGGAGACACGGAAACCAGAGCTCAACCTGTCTGCAGCATCGCAGCTGAAACAAAAACAGAATGGAATTCAACACAAACATGCTGCTGCTGCACTTGACCACGTGTCATTTCATTCATCATAATTTAAAAGAAACTTTGCAGTAAAGCTCCGTTGTCAAAGGAATACCTGTGGGTAATAACCTTATTTATTATCTTGTTGAGAGTTGGATGAGATCGATACAATCTTGTGTTTGTATGCTAAATATGAAGCTAGTGCTAGCAACCGCTTAGCTTAGCATGAACAGAGCGGAGAACAAAGAGGGATTGCTCATATTTGAGAAGCTGGAGTTTGGGAATGTTTGGTAGTTGTGCTAACGATTAATTCATTGATTAAACATTTCAGCGCCAATATAGTGTTATTTCTTAAGAGCAAGACCATAACTGTCCTCTTTGCCATTAAGCACTATCCAGTAAGGTAACCTGTTGATAGAGCAGGAAGATGTTTCTCTTTTCAGCTCGTCATCATGTCTCTGTCTTCTTTGTGTCTCTCCAGAGATGGTGACATGTCTGCGAGGACACACTGGGTTAGTTAAAGGTCTGACGTGGGATCCAGTGGGGAAATACATCGCCTCCCAGGCCGACGACCACAGCCTCAAAGTGTGGAGGACGGTGGACTGGCAGATGGACGCCAACATCACTAAACCCTTCAGCGAGGTACAGAAACACTGTCAGCTGCGTTTGATGATGCTGTGGTGACGTTGTCATTGTTGGCAAGGAAGCATCTCCATTCGTTATGTGTTCTCACTCATTTATTCAAGTTTTTCCTTTGATTTGTCACATGTCCTTATTGTATGTGTTGCAGTGCGGCGGGACAACCCACGTCCTGCGTCTGTCGTGGTCTCCAGACGGTCAGTACCTGGTGTCGGCCCACGCCATGAACAACTCCGGTCCCACCGCTCAGATCGTGGAGAGAGATGGCTGGAAGACTAATATGGACTTCGTGGGCCACCGTAAAGCTGTCACTGTGGTGGTAAGGAGGTTTCAGCCACATGTTCAGCCTTTAAATGTATACTTCACCCAAAATCTGGCTGCCTACTGATGGATCGGCTTTCTTTCTCTGCAGAAATTCAACCCAAAGATCTTTAAGAAGAAGCAGAAGAACGGCAGCTCTCCAAAACCCGGCTGTCCGTACTGCTGCTGTGCTGTCGGCAGCAAAGACCGTTCGCTCTCCGTCTGGGTCAGTTCACGCTTTAGTTTGTTTCAAAGTGTAAAGAGAACAGTAGTACAGATAAGTCAGTCCTGGTGATGTGGGTTCCTCAGTCAAGTTGCACAATTGAACACAGCTGAATTGGGTTGTTCGTGATGCTTGTATCTGTTGTTTGTTCTCTTGAGTATGAACAGCTTCCACGGAGATAATCCATCTCAGTAAATATAATTACTTTCTACTTTGTCTTGAGTGATTAGTTTAATATTCAGAGAGACAAAACTGAAACCCTAAACCGATGCAGGTTCTTATGTCATTGTGATTACTAAAGCGAGGTAGCAGGAACAAACACCTGGCAAGCTGCCAATGTTTTTGCCGTTGGTGGTTTCATTAAAGCCACCCATCAATTTGTGTAACTTGTTTTAATGTCGAATTGTTTTTAAATGACTACTTGAAACTCCTTAACCCCATTTTAATTACTGTTAGTGAGGAAAGGCGTATGAAGGGATCCTAACAAAACTAACATTGTCTGTCCATTTCTCCTCTTCAGCTGACCTCTCTAAAGCGCCCCCTTGTGGTCATCCATGATCTGTTCGATAAATCGATTATGGACATTTCCTGGTGAGTTTCACACTGGCGTTATATGGCCTACCCAGTGTGCATTAGTGTCTGCCTCCCTGAGCTTGCCGGCCTTTATCGAAGACTGAGACGACAACTCACTTGATAATTGATCCTTCAAGTTCGAGAATGTTTAAAATATATTATTTTCATAGTTCATGGCTTACTAAAAAGAGTAATACCTGTTTGCAGTTCCAGGAATTCTGTTAGCAGGTCTTACAAATGTCTAGTATTTTTATAATCACAGCAGGGCTCAATGTTAAACTTTTTTGCAACTGGCCCCACTGGTTCAGTTGGTTTGAAGCTTACTGGCCCGAAGACAATTTTTACTGGCCCCCCATCCAAAAGTGATATATCAGTGTTACAACAAAACCAAATACTTATAAGTTATGTTATACTATTAACATGTTTAAATGGTTATTAAATACATCCTGGATCTAAAAAACTAAACTAAAATGTAATCACAGCTTTCTCTCCTGCTGACAGACATTTAATAAAAAAAAAAATGTACACAGAGCAGGTCGCCACGGTAGCGACCTGTCAATCACAAGGTAGTCCCGCCCGAAAGCATATGCTACATTATCGTCTATTTCCCCCTAAATAGGACCATAAATGCGGCTGAGACCATAAACTCATTATGAAAGTGTTTATTGAGGTAATAATTCAGCTGAGAAGTAGCAACATTTTACCATTATTTCTAAGGGAACTGGACTTCTTTTTGCAACCAGCGGACTCGCCCCCTGCTGGCCGTTAGAGAGAATGCAGTTTTAAGTTCCGTCTTCTGTTTGACTTTAGGACCCAGAGGTTGCCGCTGAGATTAGAGAAATAACACTCATCACGTAACCACAAATCTGGATTGTACAACGGTGTGCGCCATGAGCTGCAAAGCAACTGCAGGATGTTGAGTTTATAATTTGTTTATTTTAAATACTAATGTTATTGCGGGCCAGTGAGTTGCGAGTTCAACTGTCTTGTTACTTTTTACTGCCCCCGGGCCATCGGACCACCATTGTTGTCGAGCCCTGCACAGTCTATGGAGAAATATCTTTGTTTTAACTTCAGGGGAGTTTTTGTTGCAGTGCAACAGTTGGCCACTGGGAGGAGGCAGACTCTGCCACTCTTTGTCCAGTTCTATTCCATACTCTGTTATCCATGGTTTTACACTAATGAACAGGATTATAAGACCACTGTTACACCCTCCACATCTCTAAGTTAAATGTGTGTGTGTGTGTGTGTGTGTGTCAGGACTCTGACAGGTCTGGGGATGTTGGTGTGTTCGATGGATGGCACTGTGGCCTACCTGGACTTTTCACTGGATGAACTGGGGGACCCGCTGAACGAGGAGGAGAAGGTTAGACACACAGCATGGAATCACATCTGCAAGTAAAATTCTGAACAGAAGACCAGTTATTGAACTCCATAAACCAAAACAAATTACTCGTAGACTAAAACTAGATCCTGTTTTCACTCTTCACTGTCATTAACCTCGAGTCAGGCATTTCTTTTCTTTTTTTAAATTTTGCCAGTTTGAAAAACCTTATTGTTCATTAAGAACATTGGGGCTTCTTGATTATGCCTAAACATATCTCTGCATATCTCTGTCTTCTTCCAAGAAAACAACATAGCATTGTGTTAGTGACCAGACACAAGGGGTTATTTATATGAATTGACAAATATTAACCTCTGTTATCCAGTACTTTCTCGTGCTTAAAAGCTTAGAAAGCCTGTACTTTTTTAGCTGTTTTACTTATTGTGAAAAGCTGAAGGGAAAAGGAGGACAAGTCGTAGCAACAAGTTGTTAAAACCGAAGTCATGAGATTTTATGTTTACAAGCCCTAGTGGCTTGTGATTGGTCAGTGTCACCCAATAAAAAAGATACAACTAAACAACAGGGTTTTTTTTTTTGCTCTGCTTCAAACAAAAGAAAATTAAATAAAAATTGAGAATTAAATTATTAGTAAGTTTAAGAGCGTGTTTACACTCATGACCTTGTTACTCTAGCTTTTCTTTATACCTTTTTTTTTTTCTGGGGTTTCTGTCTTCTTTTTTTTTTTTTTTGTTCTTGTTGTCCTTCCTTTCATCGTTCTACATTACGCACCCACATCAAACTTCTCTCTCTTACTCTGACATGCAGAACAGCATCCACCAGAACATCTACGGTAAGAGTCTGGCTATAACCAGCACTGAGGCTCAGCTTTCCACCACCATCATCGAGAACCCTGAGATGCTCAAATACCAGCAGGAGAGACAGAACTCGGCCCAGGCCAACTCAGGACCGGGCAGCGTCGGGCCAGAATCCTCAGCTCCCAAACTCAACAGTATGATGAACGGAGAGTCTCTGGAGGACATCAGGAAGGTGGGACACTGATATAATATCCAACAAGCAGCGCAAAGTGTTAACCGCTGTCTTTCAAGACTAACACTGAATTCTGATGCGTTTGATAATTAATCATTGTTCATTTGTGTGTGGTTTTTATGCACATATTTACTCTTAAAATTACTTTAATTTCCTTTCAGGAAGATATAAAGTGACAGAACTGAGTTCAGAACTGAGTTCAGACCCTACAAGACAAAAAACAATATCTAGAAACTATTAACTGATTATATTTAGATATACAGACAATAGCTCCAGAGAATAGATACAGTGTATATAAAACAATTCAAGTCAAATAGAGGAGAGCAAATGATGTACACTAACTTGGAAACCGTACACTGTTAAACATCAGTGATGTATTAAATACATATTTATGATGTTTTCTACTTTTGAATTTTTCAGGGCTCCATTTTCAAAAGCTGTCAAAGCAAATACTTTTTATGATATTTTTGGAGCTTCAACTTCCTGGATGTGTTATTTTGTCGTCTTTCAGAACCTTCTGAAGAAGCAGGTGGAGACAAGAACTGCAGACGGCAGAAGACGAATCACACCGCTCTGTATCGCTCAGCTGGACACAGGGTAGGAAAACATGAAACACACAATTTCTGATTTTCATTGGTGGAGAGCTGAACTGATGACTGATGGCACAAACACCTCGCAGATTATGTTGAGATTCTACAGATAGTGGCTGGAAGATTGTTATATATTATATATGATATTTCTTCCAACATGAGTTTGATAGTATAAAAAACAAGATAATTAAAGCTGAATTTTTAGGGTAAATTACACACATCCAAGAATAAAAAAAAAAAATTGGTTTCAGGGCATCATCTGTAGATCTGAGGTTACAGTTGTGGTCAGAGGCAGATGGAAGTGAGCAGCATATGCTCTGCCTAAAAAAAGCAAGTTTGTCTTGGTGATGACGGTGCATCATTTGATCAGAGCTGAGAGAGACTGGATCACAGACCCAAGACCGGATCCTACAATATCTGATTCCCTACTAGAAACCGAGAGGACTTGTGAAGACCTCTACTTGAGTCAAAAATAACCCCCAACTTGCGTTCCTGGCGGCAGCAGCAGCAGTAGTAGCACTAGAAGCAGTAGTTCTGTATTCAGTGGACCACTGTCCATCTTTCTCTACAGGGATTTCTCGCCGGCTCTGTTCAACAGCGCTCCCATCCTGCCCTCAGGCTCCTCCATGTCCAACCAGCTCACCCCTCAGCTCAGCTCAGACTCCAGCCCAGGACAAGCCTCTTCTCTGGGGCTTAAGCCCAGCCACGACCTTCATGCTCACCTCGCCTCCAGCCAGCAGTGCCGGCAAGGGCCTGGAGGACAACAAGGATGGGTACAACCTGAAAGAAAATGTTTTTTACTTCCTAACCAGATATCTCTCTCCGAACACTCCCACTCTGCCCCCTTCCTCCTCTTCATTTTTCTTCTTTTACCCTTCAGCCATCGCCCTTGATCTTCCCGCTCCCTCCCCCTCGTCTCTTTCTTATTGTCTGGTTTCCTTATGTTCCAGTGTGAAGTCGTGTCTGCTGCTCACTTCTGCCTCCAAGATCGAGCCAATGAAAGCTCTGGACTCCAGGTTCACAGAGAGGTCAAAGGCCACACCGGGGGTAACAGTCGTCCTCTCCTCCACCGCTGGAATCATGCCTCTCGACAGGTGATTGACTCAATGGAAGTGAAGTAGATAAGTTCCAAAGCTCCAGCACTGTCCCTAAAATTCATTTAGAATTTTCTGTTCATCCAGCAGGCCCAAAGAAGGCATCTCCGCCCTGAAAGATGTAAAAACAAAAGAAGAGACCAGCAGCGACAGCGAGGACAAGATGGCCGCCATCAACAAAAACCTGTCGTTCAGCAAGAGGAAACCCGAGCTGCTGATGGATGGAGGAGAGGTGGTGGAGAAGAGGAAGAAGGGACGGCCGAGGAAAGACAAGATTGTCACTCCCATCACCCAACCCTTCACTCAGGTAGTGAGATGGAGGGAAAAGATGAATGGATAGATGGAGTTCTCCGTGGATAGATGGAGTTCTCCGTGGCCCTTCATTCCTTGTCAAAAAAACATTTTACATATTTAGATATTTATTAACTCTGTAGTTACAGATAGTCAGTCAAAGCCTCTTCATTTCATACCATACAGTATTTTAAAAGTTGCAGTAAACAGTAGTGTTAAAAAGATCTTGTAAAATCTCCTTTTGTGCCGATGTTATTGGAATAAATGTGGCGCATTAGAGAGTTAAATTAGTGTTCCTGTCCTTCCTCTTCCTGTCAGATAACCCCTCCAGCAGAGCGGGAGCCCAGTAGGGTGGCAGCTCCTTCAGTTCCTGTAGCTGCTCTCAAACTACCAACACCAAATATAAAGAAGGCCTTCAGTCTGCAGGTAAAAACACTGACTGTGTGGGTACTTGTACTTCCTACACACCCGGAACAAGATTTGAACCAACAGAGTGAGGACATTTTGGTCCTCACAACTTCAAGGGGCTGTTAGGTTAAGGACAGGGTTATGGTCAGCATTTTAGTTGTGATGGCTAAGGTTACGGTAAGGTTCCAGATTTTCGGATCTAAATTTTTAGATGTGAACATACATTGATTTTATTATAGACCTCATTATCAGTCATTGAAGACTTGTTTCTTACAACCCTAAAAAACTATAAAAATATGTTTGTGTGTAGGTGAGCATGGACCCGTCAATGTTCCTGGAGGTGGAGAACGAGGTGTCTGTTGTAGCGGGTTCGAAGCTCAGCCAGCTGCGATGCTCCAGAGACGGACGAGACTGGAACACACTGCTGCCCAGCTCAGTGCTCACTGCTGCAGGGAGCAGGTAGGACGCTCAGCTGAGATGATGTGTTGCAGCTTGTCTTTTATGCTTCAATTTATTTACATTTCATATCATCAATTCAAGTTCAAGTTTAGAGATGTGTATAAAAATAAATGCATCAACAACAGTAAATGAGTTGTTCCCGCTCTTCCTCTTCCTTAGCGACGTCCTCGCCGTCGCCTGTCAGGACAGGATGTTGTCAGTGTTCTCTTGCTGTGGGCGGCGGCTTCTTCCGGCCATTCAGTTGGCCACGCCTGTGTCGGCTCTGCACTGCTCTGCACACTTTGTCATGGTTCTGACTGCTGGAGCGACGCTGTCGGTCTGGTCAGTGGTCATATATGTAGTTTGAAATGTCATGTGGTGGAGTTGATCTGTATTTCTTAGGGATGTTTCCAGGGTTGTTTTTGAGTTTGTATATTTTTATTTTATATTTCCCACACAGGTAGACTGATTGCAAACACATTTATTTGTAAGAATTGTGGTTCAAATTACTTAAATTACAGAGAAATTGATATATTGAGACATGTATTGGTTTATGTTGATGTAGATGTTCTGTTACAGACGGATTTCCTTCTGTACTGTAGCAGTTTCAGTCAAATATGTTGAATTATACAAGCGCAATAAAGTGTTTGCTGACATTATCTGTCATTAAAACGGTTTGTTGATTTTGTGTATGTGCAGGGATGTTCAGAAACAGAAGGCTCTGGTGAAGAACGAGTCTCTGCTGACCATTTTATCTGGTGAGACACTGCAGCATGTGATGACACAGGAATAGTTCTACATTTTGGGAAATGCACTTATCTGCTTTCTTTTCTAGAAGAAGGTGAGAAGATCAGTCTTACGTGATTGCAACTGGAGTCAGTAAATTAGACGAAATAGTTTCAGCACATAACTCCCCCTAAAAGTAGGAATTTGTTTTGTATTTTAGTAAAAGTTGGTATGAGATTTAAATGTAATACATTTCTTTTGTCAAATTCAGTGAATACCTCGTCAAGGTCCGCTATCTGTTCGCTCTGTGTGCGCAGAAAAAAAATACGGTGTTTGTAACTCAAACAGACTGAGCCACACAACAATATTCAAGCCATGATTTGTGCGTCAGGTAGCGTTTAATGACTTGCCAACGGACATTCAGCTTACTTTCTAGTTCACCAAGACATGAGAGCTGTGAGTATCGCTGTATCGTTGTTTGTTCTATATCATGGTATTTGTCGTGTTGCTGGATTTCTCCAGAGTCGCATACCCCTCCTTTTTATGAGTTAAATAAACAATATTCACCGTGTTGATTAGAGCTGTAAGAAGGTGCATTTATAATCTTTAGACAGAACCAGGCCGGCTGTTTTCCCCCACAGTGCACTGTGCTAAGCTAGGCTAACCACATCCTGACTCAAGCTCTGTACTAAACACACAGGCATGAGATTGATATCCATCTCTCACTCGTGGGAAACAAAGCAAATATTTTTATTTTTATTTATTTCCTAAAGTGTTGAACTATTCATTTAAAAGTACAGTAACACTTGGTTTATTGGAATGTTCTTCTCAGGCTTGTTTTCTTCATGAAGAAAATAAAAGATCTTGAAAAGATTTTTTTATTTCATCCTCTCATGAAGATGTTTCAGGATGAATCGAGTCAAACATCTTTGTGTTTGTAGGTGCTGACACCACAGTGTCTCAGTCTCTGCTGACTCAGCAGGGAGTTCCAGTCATTGGACTCTCCAATGGGAAGTCCTACTGCTTCAGCTCCTCACTGGAGACATGGTGAGAAACTAAAGGGTGGAGACACAGTATGACCAAGAACACATCAGCTGCTGCTCTTAACACTGATGATGAGTTTGGTTCTTAAAGTGAGGACACTGACTGAATGATTTCCATTATAAACTAAATTAAGAATCTGTCTCTGGCAGGACTCTGATAGCAGATAAAGGAGACTCTCTGGTCCAGTGTGCTGACTTCAGAAGCTGCCTACCTACCCAAGATGCACCTGTGTCCTCAGGGCCGCTGGCTGTCATGCAGGGACGCAACCTGAAGTACGACAGTAATATTTAATCTCTTAACACCTATGCTTAACACCAGTGTCTCTTACTCCAGATATAATGTAAAAAGGAAGTAAAGAAAAGGTCTCTCTGGTCCCCACAGTGCTGGTCGGCTGGCGTCCCGCCTGTCCTCCACCCCTCACCACCTGCAGCAGAGCATGACCTTGGCCTTCCTGGAGAATCAGCTGGCATCTGCTCTGACTCTGCAGTCGGCACAGGAGTATCGCTACTGGCTGCTCATCTACGCCCGATTCCTTGTCAATGAAGGTACTAAACTATCAATGCAGTGGTGCAACTGCTAAAATGTCACCCTATCATTAATCTCACTGATATTATCAGCGAGTTACTAATGATTTTCACTCGTGCACTATTAGAGCACCTTAATTCAGGTGGCTAGCTCCCTCTCCTCATTCTTCAAAGGACATCCACTTAAAAGGTGCTGTTATAAGAGCAGCATAGCTACTTTAATGAATAGGGCAGTGCGTAATGTGTAGTTGTAGTGTGTGGCTGAGGGTAAGAGAGCAAGCGTTAGGGCTGCACAATTAATCGAATATTGATCGCAATTACGATTTTAGCTTCACACAATTAAATGAACACGATCGATGGCGATATCGCCGTTTAAAATGGAAACCGCTGCTGCATATCAAATCAAGCGCTTCCTAAACTTACAGCCAAGGGGCCAATTTGACTGCGGGTGCACCCTCCTGCTGCTACAGTCCAGAGTAGACAGCAAAGTCCACGAGTCCGCATGTGTCCGCTACGCAACTGCTGCCGGAGCTGGTCGCGGCACTTCTAGTCAATGCTTGGGAGTCCATCAGACGCAGTGAGTCCCTGAAGTGTGCCAGATGAAGGTCTCGGCTCAGCTCCTGTAGAATACACATGTCATGTTTTGGATGGAAGCTGCATCGAGCTGCATAGAGCACATCAAAGTGGGCAGGAAGTCAGACACAGAACGGCATATACCCAGTCAATTTTCAAAATAAAACACTGTGCATACTCCCGATCATAAATCGAACGAAAACACAGTTAAAACAGACAAAAATGAACCATTTATGTACATTGCCTACTTAATCACAGAAGAAGCGCAAAAAGCACTGACTGATTACCAGATCAACAAAATCTAAACATGTCAGCAAAATCAGGCAGGCAAAACGCTCTGATTCTGAAATGCTCCCTGTGGGAGATGCAGCCGTGCAGACGACAAACAAAACCTAGCAAGCTGCGCTAAGTGACAGTGAAAGCAAGCAGAGTAAGAGATTAGCAGGAAGTTGTCAGTCTGGCGATAAATGTACAGTGTATGTTACAGTGTTGGTTAATAAACACCGCAGCTTCTTAAGACCATGAAAAGTTTGTCTGTTGAAACTGCTGGTAAAGTGAAGGGGGTTAGCAAACATCTCCCATCTTTCATCATCTTGCATATGTTTGTGTGTGTCCCTTCAGGCTCAGAGTATCGACTCAGAGAACTCTGTAAGGAGCTGCTGGGCCCCGTCCACAAATCAGCGAGTACAGCCTGGGAGCCCAACACTCTGGTACGACAACAACACTCTGCTAGTTGGATTTGTTTCATCTACACTTACAAATGTCCAGATTGTTCTCAGATAGTTTGCCTTCCACACATATACAAATCAAATGTCTTTTTCTTCCATCTGTCAACAGCTGTTTTCTCTCCCATTGCTCTGTCTCTGATCTCTAAATTTAAATTTGATCGACAGTCATTAGCACCTGTACTCTCTAATCTGATGTACGCATATATAGCAATGTCCCGATCAAACTTCATTAATATCTGCTGACACAGATCCTTACACTTACCTTAATGTTTATTATTTACACTTTTAAAAATAGTAGCTGTAGCTGCTGTAGTTTAAAATCTTAAATTATTGATATGACATGAATGCGATCAGCTCGTTTAACTAGAGAAGAGGTATCGCTCTGTTGGAGCTGAGAGATTTACTTTGGCGAGCAACTGACTTCATCTTCATCAACAGAAATCATCTATTTTTCTATAAAACATCAGAAAATAGTGATAAAGACCATCGCGATTCCCAAATCCTGAAATGACATCTTCTTTGTCTTGTTTTTTTTTTTTTTTGTCCAACCATCTGTTCAGATTTCGAAGATATTCAATTTACATCGAAACGCTATCGAAGAAAGCAGAAAATCCTCCCATTGGAGAGTCTGAAAGAAGAAATTATTTGGCAACTAAAGAATAATTACTAAACAATTCATTGATTATCAAAATTGTTATTTATTAACTTGATGTTGATCAATTAATCAAATAATTCTGCACTACCTCATTCTTACACCTACTGCAAGAAATGCTGACTCGTATTAGGCATCTAATCATTTCCCGGCTGTTTACATGTCACTGGTCCGTCGTTTTGTGAACACTGTTTAGACCTGTGCAAACAAAGCTAATAGCTAATGACTTAGCCTGGGCTAGCACTTAACTAGGGTTGAGTGTCGTGTCAATTTTATTGACTCTGATTCTACTTATCAGATCCGGTTCTTATTGAATCTCAGTTCTGGTTCGAGCCCCTTCACTACAAATCTTGTCACAGCTCTGTGACATTCATCTACTTTGTCCTTGCTCTTCTTCCCCTTTATGGCTAAAGTGAAAGGAGTTTCTGTACCAGAGGCGTGTCTCTGGGGACTCCTATCTAAAAATAAAAAATTGAGAGACGTTGGTATTGTTGGTGTTACCTGTATCTGGGGCGTCACTGTAGCTGGGAGAGCGCGACACGTTGAACACGGTGACTTCCTTCAGATTCATGGCGTGTTGAAGTAAACGCTTCGTCATATTGGAGCTGCTTCCTCTCTTGCAGAACAGAACAGAAGTACTCTCTCCTCGCGTGCTTCGTTGATGTACTGCGTAACAAATGACATGACGTTAGGTCAGCGTAGGAGGTCCTGGCAGACAAGTGCAGCTTCCATGTACTGTAAACGCTGTTGACGATTGAAGGGGATGATCAGCGATTGGTTTTTCATGCGTCAATATTAACTAACTCACTAGCAGAACTAAGATGACATAAAAAGTCTCTAGAATCCGTACCCCACTGCAGTGTTTCCCATTCACTGATTTATTTGTGGCAACACAACACACCTCAACATCAACTCTGACAGCCATAATAAATAGAATAATTAAATCATAATTCATTGTGAAGCTGCCCGCACTGCATAGATTCACTCAGCACCTCCCTTTGCTCGCTCCCTCTCACAAACGGAAACGGAGCCGTGTGTTTATAGAAAAACTAATGCATTAAGTTAACTCTAGGAAGTCAGTCTATCTATTTTCTTAACACAACGCTGTCAATTTCGGAGACACACCACCACCAAATAAGTTATAAGCAGGCATGTAAGGAGCCTGGCTAATAAGTATAGCTATGTTTACGTTAGAATACAGCTGGGTTGTCGAGGTTAGCACGCTATACATAGCTGCTGTTCAATATCGACTGCACCCCCCACCCATGTGCGACGGCAGAGTTGCACAGTAATTATGTGGGAAACACTGTACTGTGCATTTACAAAGCTAATAAGCTTTTTCTTCCATGCAGGCCTTTCACTGGCACAAAACCGCCCCTTGGCGATCAGATCGCCAATCGTTGATCTCAAGTAGCCATGATTAGACGATATGAAAATAAAGATAGCCCAACCCCAGTACAGATTCCAACTTGGACCTGGTTGTCGATACCCTACACATAACTTGTGCATATTTGTTGCTAACTATTTGTCTTCTTCGTTTTGTGTGTTCAGGGTCTACGTAAGCGGGAGCTACTGCAGGAGGTTTTACCCGTCATCGGTGAAAACCTGCGGTTCCAGAGACTGTTCACTGAATACCAGGACCAGCTGGAGCTGCTGCGTAACAAATAACACACGGCTATAGACGTACACGGAGACACACAGACTGACACAAACACATGGACTCATCATGAAACCTGTTTGGCTTGTCCCGGTTCTGGTAAACGCTGACTGGGAAGCTTGATATGCAGTTCTGGCTGAAAACCCCACCCTGGTGTTTTGTGATAACAGCCTTTAATAACAGCCGGTCTGCAGCTTTTCAAGCTCGGGGACTTTTCAGTGCTGTCGCCCACTGGGAATGAGTGGGTGCTCAGTTTTTTTTCTAATCACAATCTTAGTTTGAACAGTTGTCTTTTCTTTTTCTCCTCTGCTAAATGTGTTTTTGACCTATGCACCTCTGTCCTGTACTCCTAATCATGGACTTAAAAAGATTAACTTAAGAGAGACAGTGATAGAAAGGTCGCAGGTTTGATTCCTGCCCCATGCGGCTTCAGCAGCAGTGTGTCCCATTGAGTCTTTTCCTCCTCAGAGAGAAACAGGCAGGGGTGAGATGCTCGTAAAAGAAAAATATGAATCCGAATGGGTGTAAATGAGCAATATGCTTGTACCAAAGTGTTGCCTTCAAGTGTAGAAATAACCACAAACCTGTGTCTGCAAGGTGAGAGGAATCATGGAACTCCAGAGAGGTTCAACCAGGTTATAAAGGCTGAATCTGAGTGCACTGGCTGTCTTCAAAAGCAGCAGTGCCAATACCAAAATGTGAAGTCACAGCGACAAAGATTATTAAAATATAGACCACTGCTGGAAATTAGGATGAACCTCTGGGAAATGGAGACAAAAGGGATTTCAGATATTTAAGTCAACTTGGAGGTAATTCTAACCTGCTAAAGCATTCACATGCAATTCAAAGAGCTTTTAAAGCAGTTCAGATATTATGAGAAGCACAGCAGCCGAATTTATATTGTGACTGAATTTAAACAAACAAACAAACGACTCAGCCAACATGCACACAAAGCCAAATAAATAATTAATAAGTAAGAAAACGAAATGGCACTTAAGTCGGATTATCAGGTTATCGCAACGCAGGAGCACCTTGTGCACTAGTGTGGGTGAGTCACATCTTGATCTGCAACTATTTTAGACATCACTACAAGCTGTCGATACCTGACGCCATTTCTACTGATGTTTTTGTTACCAATTAAGATTCAAAACGAATCCATTTTTTTACCTGATCTTCATCAGCACCTCTAACATCTAGACCATCAAATATTTTGAAGCTGTTTTGTCAACCAAGGACTTAAAATAATGTGTGTACTTAAAAAGTCACGTTTGTATTGTGAATTAATTTAGAAGCCAACTCCGTTTTCAGGCAGGTCTTAACCTTCATCATGACATCACAGATTATATCCTATTTACTCTATATCCTATTGTCTCCTGTCTCTCTGCAGGTGTTCAAGAAAACACTCAGAAAGGCAGAAAAGCAGAATTATTTTCTTCTAAATACTCTGATATGAGACTCTGAGACCTTTTCGACCTCTTTTACTGTAAACTTGTGCCCCAGTCACATCCAAACACGTGTATTGTAAATATCCGTAGCAGCCGTGCTGGGCTTCTGTATATCCTACTGGTCTTCAAGGTAATATTATGTGCATCAAACAGGCCTCTGAGGTGATCAAAGACAAAATTCTCTCTTATTTGTTATAGTTTGACAAACCATCAACTCTGCTCACAGCAGCTTTTTTTTACGCATTAAATCTGACAAAAATGTTTTGTGGTTTGTTAAACGTGCGATTGTAGGATCGTCTTATTCTTGAAATTATGTGAACATTTCATCAGACCAGGCTGTGATCAGAGGACCAGTGGAGAAATGATATATATATATATATATAAATATATAAAATATATATATATTTGGTCTGTTTCACTTTTTGTCTCTTTTGTAAATAACCAGATTCACCTGACTTGCTTATGTTTATCTCTGTTGCTGGGCAAAAACCACTGCAAAGACATCAGTTTTTCAGACTGGGGGAGGGGGGGCACCCATTAACTTGACATTTTTACAGGTTTTAAGGGCCCAAAGGTCATGAAACTCAAAATCACCTCAATGAACTTCACTTCCAGAAAAAGTACTCCTGTTTAGCCTTATTGTCTACAGCTGCAGCAGCAGCAGCAGCAGCAGCAGCAATGTACTCCTCTGCCAATTCATTGTGTTCCTATAAAAGGAGAGTGTGAGCGTTAAAGCTTGTTTACTGCTGTATTTCCCTGCACAGAGTGGAGAGCAGCACTGAGGCCGACAGAGACGAGTCCAGAGGAAGAATTAATCCTCTTTCTTTACTAATCTGTACAGCATTTCTTTCTTTGTTTCATTTCTTGTTTTGTTTTTGCTGTTAGTCATTTATAAATGTTTGTACAAGGCAATTTTTTTTTTGTTTCAGTTTTCTATAAGAAAAAAAAATGGGCGGGAGGAGTGGAAATTTTGTTTTTGAAAATAGAAAGTGGAAAAATAAACAAATGAGGAACAGTTGGGTTTTGGTCATTTCCTGTGTCATCACTGTGTAGGTGAATGAGAGACGGCAAATGCTGGCTGAATGCCTTGTTAAAGAGAATTGTTTTTATGTTGGAAAAAACAAAGTATGTTCATGGCTGCCGAGTGAATATATTAGCAAATATTACCTTATTCCAGTACAGAGACCGCAAAGATATGTTTGTTATTGAGATGCAATTTCCCCATTATATAGTTTGTCTGCTGGACAGCACTGACAACAGTGAACATAAACAACTTTACATAGCACCTTTCATGCACAAGTGCAGCTCAAAGTGTTTTACAAAACACAACAGTTAAAATATTTCAGTTCATTATATATTTATTTCCTGGTAACAGTTCTTTAACATTTAGGGCAACCTTATTAAAAATGAAAGGAAAATCAGTCGAGATATCGTAATCAGATGGTTTCAAACTCTCAAATATGGATGTCATGTTGGTCTCAAAGTCCAGTATCCTTCAGACTCTAGCTTAGTTCCAAAGGGGTAGTTGTAACACATTGTAAAATAAGTCATATTAACCCACTGTATGTCAAGTAAAAGCCTAGGCTACCTCATAGTAATTACTTTACTGCTAACCAGTGTTTTTATATGGTTCAAATTATTTTAGATGTCAGGCATCCTCTGCTCTATTATCTGTTCTAACTTCATAAAATTGCTTTTCACAAGTGAACTAGTCATTCTCTTTGGTTTTACTGGGTCTTATACAATCAACTACTTTAACTCCACTTCCACTATATAGACAAACTGAAATTGAAAGGAACTATACTTTTGCAGACTTAGGCCTATATAACATTCACACTTTCTGTTAAAGACATATAAAACACACATTATTTTACACAAAGAAAGTTGACCTATGTTAATTGATGATTTGTTTATACTAGAACAAATCCATTTCTTTTAATACACCCTTTGTGAATGTATTTTTCCATTTAAATTTAGTGAAATATGTTCACTTTCTAACAAACGTAGTCAACACAGACAAACAAGCTGCTTACATTGGGCCATGTGGCTTGGAACGTCACTGAACACAGTGTTTTGCCCCCGATGTTGCAGCCATGATAAAATCTTGTATGCCCGCTAGCCACAACTATATTAGCATAGTTTGTTAGTGTTAATTGTTACTCAATAACCTAGAGATGAAATCTATGTATGTTTAAATTTGTAGTAATTTAAACTTCAGACACCAGAAGAAAAATACTGTACATCCAAAAAGTTACGTTCATACCTCAAAATAAGTATTTTGTTAAAAACTTCTGCTGAGGTGAAATTATCCTGCTCCTTTTCAATAGGCAGTGAGAGAATCATACTGAGCATGTGCAGATTAAGTGTCATCACTTTAGCTTGTTTCTGTTTGGAGAAATTGAGTGTGTTACAATTGCCCCCGGTCTCCCCTACTGCCTGTTAATTGTTTTTATGATCTGGTCACTCCAATGGCATGCAGGTTCATTTTCATGGACGGCTGTGGACAAATAAAATTGGAGCACATGTTTGATGGGTGTTGCTTCAAGGCATTGAGCAACTTCCTTTCCACAGAGATCTCAGTGGCTCAATCTGTAGAGAGGCTGGGTTTGTCTGATGGCTTCCTCATTATTTATACCAGATGAGCAGTAACACTGTAGGTTTTTCAGATAGCCGGTGTAGAAAGTGGATGGAGGTTTTTAGCTGTTTTGAATACATAATTTTCACCAATTAAGATGGACATTTGGTCTCCTACATGGCACCTTGCTACCTGGGCAGTCATGAACCTCCTCTGTGTTTTTTCTCATGGTGAGTTTACCACAAACCTTTCTTAATAAATGCCACCTTTTAACATGCTGCTGTTAATTAAATGTTAAACCTTATGGTTGGGTTTTAAGCTTAGTCTAGAATTGAAATTACCTTTCTCAGAGATGCATTGGGATTGAGATTAGTCCTGGAAGATTAGTTACTTTGCAAAGTGTTCTTGAATTCAGCAGCAAAGGTCTGATTCCATCAAATGATGGGTTCAAACCTTTATGTGCACTTCCAGGTCTGTGCCATGTACAATTACTAAACTCTCATGGAATAACTCATGTCCAGGACTGGTTCCCAACCTTGATGGCTGATGCCCCTTGAAAACAAAACACTATCTACATGTGGCCCCTTGTCACAGGTTTGATGGGGTGTGTGTGTCAACAAAGTGATTTTCTCTTCTAAGATTGTAAAATTTGAAGTTATTATTAAAGGCTTCCCCCTCAAGCCTTTAAAACTATCCAGAATCCAAAATAGAAATGATATATAAAAAATACATGAAAAGGTTGTAATCTGTAAATCTTGAAGACTTGTTACATTCGTGTGGTAGCCTACATTTTAGTGTAAATACAGTATTTAGTCATCTCAAAATAAAGAAAGCTTGCAGACTCAGATTAGATGAAAGCAGAATGGTTTTGTTTTTGGTGTCACTCCTGATCATCAGTCTTGTTTTCTGTCAGAAGTGACAGTGAGGTACTCTGATCTGAAGCCATGCAGAGAGGATGAGCGAGTGTGTGTCACTGACCTCAGAGACTGTGCCCCTCGGCCACTTTCATCTATACAGAGTGAGTACACACACACAGACACACACACACAGATATATTGATTTTTGGTTCTTGTTGTTGGTTTGGTCTTGTTTTTTCCTGGTTCCTCTTACGTCTGACAGAGTTTGAAGAGTTCAAACCTAGTCTTCAAAATATTTACTAAGTTAAATCGGGTTTGTGGGTGCGTTTCTACGTGTAAAATGAAAACATGCCTGTGCTGGGTAAGAAGTGGTTTAATAATTCTTGTTGTTCTGGGTTATTTCGCATAAGGATAAAATGTTCACTTTTGAACTGTGTCCTTCAGGCACTATGTTTAAAAATGTTAATGGTTGTACTTCCTGAGATGAGAATGGCAGGGCAAAATTTCTTTTCACAACATGAGTCCGTGTGATTAAAGGACTACAACACCTGAAGCTGGCTATGATGTTAGCAGTATTACCTCGCTCATTAGTAGGCTCTCGAACTTGTCGACTAAAAGAGCACATAGTTTATCTTTATAAATATTTTTAAAAATATATTATTAGTTTTTCTTTCTTTCCATTTTGATGGTCTTTATTTTGTTTGTTCATTATTTCTTCTTATTTCTATCTTGGACGACTCCAATGATAGATGCTAGGTATAGGCTACTATAGCAGCTGTGGCTCAGGAGGTTGCCCGTTACTCGGAAGGGCGGCGGTTCAATCCCCCCAGTCTGGTGGCTGTTCCACCAGTATGAGTGTGTGTGAATGGTGAATGCAGATGTAGTATAAAAGCACTTTGAGTGGTCGAAAAGACTAGAAAGGCGCTATACAAATATGGAACATTTACTAGGTATAAATGAGTACAGAATGTATCAACCGTGATATATGTGAAATGCAAGTGCTAAAAAAAAAGATGTTTGATAAATAAAAAAAGCGTCAGGACTTAGGCTTCTGCAAGCCACAATAACCATTGTAAATCTTAATGGTGAAATTTCTTAAACACCATCAGTCCAACTTTGATGAAGCACATAAGAATGACACACTGTGGTATAGCTCTGCACTTTAAAACATTAAAAAAAGGTTTAGGAAAAAAATATTTTTAAAGTTTAAAAGGCCATAACTGGGACACCATTTGTCCTATTTTAAATGAAATGTGGGCTCATGAGTGCGGTGTGTTGTTAAAACCGGATCCTTCTTTTGTTTTGCTGCAGAGACCCTGAACATGTCCTGTTACTACCAGATAGAATACAAATCCATGACATGTGAGTGGAGTCAGGAGACAAACAGCCACACTAATTCTGATGTCTCGCTCATCTTCGGCAGGTAAACACTGAGACAGCTTTCTACTGAAATTCATTTCTCGAGTTGTACTCCGGTTACAGGCTCTGTATATGTAGCAACATGAGGAGTAACCAACTGCTCATCATTTCCTTTTTCTGAAATGTAGAGGAGCCAGTGTGTGAAAGTGCTGTTTTTCATTTAGAAAAGTGTTGAAATAAAGTTTAAAGATTAAGCAACTGCTTTAGATCAGATGTGTAATATTGACAACTAATCCCTCAGGTCTTAATCTCCGTTTTGATTTTTCTCCATCTCTTTCTTTTTCTTCTTCAGCATGGATAAAATCATCTCATGTAAGGCAATTTTCAACCCGGCAGCCGTCCTCAATGTAACAGCGAGGATGAGAAACTACATCATGGGGCGGCAGATCTGGTCCAAACCTCACACTGTGGTTCTTTATGATGCAGGTTAGCGGTCAGACATTTGTGCCAGCTAACTGTTGTCTTCCTCTGCTTTTCTTTCATGGGAATTTTCCAGAGTATGTGAGATAGCTCAGACTGATCCACAGACTGACTGCTAGACAAAAGTGAAATTA